GCCCACCTAGAGTTTGATTGCATTTCTGGACAATGTTTGGATACTGATTAGCTTTCTGAAGTTCTCTGTCCCTTTTTTTCCCCTCTCTCATCTCCCTCCCTAGTCTTCTCAGTTTTCCCCACATGATTGTTAATCTAAAGCCAGTGGTACAGTATCTGATGCTACTCACCTGATACCGGTATCTCTCAGATGACACACTCTGTCTCAGGTACAATCAGCCGGCGACAGGCCCAGGAGCCCCTGCAGCTTCACCGGTGTTTTTTTAGCACTTTTAGAAGCCTGGGTCCCAGAGTGGATCATTAAACCGGAGAATACCGATGGCAGATGAACCAAAGGCGCAAGAGCTTGCTGGATCATTCCCAAAACAGAGTTAGAGAAGAAAGAGGAGGCAAAGAATGGGATAAGAAGAAAGTTCTCCCTCCGTCTAAACACTGCTCATTAGCGGGAACAGGTATGCCAACCAAGGAAGTGATCACGATGGTGCAAGAAAGAAGATGTCATGGAAGGCAGGAAGAAAGACGCAAGAGGTGCTGACAGTGAAGGAATGACAGTCGCATGCTGAATAGGCAGGAGTGTCTAATCTACTGGTAGACATCTGCATCAAAAAATGTCTCTGCCGCAACAACTGTTCCACTTCCTGTCAATTAGCTGCCAGGAAATTGCACACACATTTGTCCAAGCGGGGAAAAAAACACACACTGGCACGTACACACTTTAACTACATAGTAGAGAGAGAACATGCAAACGCCCACACATGTAACACACACCTCATCAAGCTGCAGTAACTGAGCCATGATTAGTTTACAGGAGGGGGGCATTATGCAGTGTGTGTGTGTGCATGTGTGTGTATGTGTGTGTTTGCCTGAGTGAAAGTGTGAGAAGCAGGTTTTTTTTCTGCGCTTTGTTTCACAAACAGAAAGAGGATGCCAAGATATAGTGATTACACTTCCTGAAGAACAACTGTGACTCGGGGAAAAATTAAAAGAAAGTGAACACAAAGCCAATGAGGCTTGGATGTGCAGGATGCAGGTGATGAGTTTCAAGAGTTTTCTTCAACCTAAAACTAAAACCAGCATTTAAAATACCTCTGAATCTGGCTTAAAGCTCCTGTGAGGAATTTTAGACATGTTGATTTTGGAGCCCTCCTGTGGACAAAGCAGAAAGTTTCCCTCAAAACCTCAGGCTCAGGTCTAGAGGTGACAGGGCCTTTTCAGCAGTTGCCCCTAAACTGTGGAACAGTTTACCTGTCCATATTAGAGCCTCACAGACCTTAAAGTCTTTTAAATCATCTTTAAAGACCCACTTTTTCTCCCTTACTTTTAATAAATGCGCACACAGGCATTAGAAGCACTGTAGCTTTTATTCTTCTACTGTCTGTATGTTATTCTACTGTTTTTAATCTTATTTTTGTATTGTTACCTATTATTTACTTCTTTTATTTATCTGATGTACAGCACTTTGTTTGACTGCTGTCTTATAAAGGTGCTTTATAAATAAACATTGACTTTACTTGACTCAGAGTAGATGCAATCTTTTGCTTCATCTGACACCTACCCCCAAACCAGTGATCGTCATTTATGTTATTCTGATCATTTTGTTGACTTTTTAGGCCATAAAGAAACATCAATATTCATACCACTTTTAAAATTTCCTCACAGGAGCTTTAATATGGTGACCATATTCTGAATCCCCAAAAAGAGGGCATGCCTACCCAGGGCAGAGTCACGCATATTAAATTTTGAGAGTTTTTCGGGTCAGATCGAGTGTTTTTAATGCGCTTCTAACTCAATAAGTCCACAAGATACAAACTCAAAATATCCATACAAAACCCTGAACATTTGAAGGATTTTATAAACTCCCCTGGACAAGCCCGGACAGCCTCCAAAAAAGAGGACGTGTCTGGGTAAAAGAGGATGTATGGTCACTCTAGCTTTAAAGATGTGGATTTGGTGTCTGTGAGCATCTTCACTATGGGTGTAGAAGGTACAAGTATTTGCACCAAACGGTCTTGGTACAGGACTTCAGGTACGGCGTGCTTTTCTTAGACCCCAAACCATTAAAGTAGAGTTGCAGTAAATACTTTAGTAACTGAGTATCACTTAATTTTTCACCAATCCTCTGGTTCCTGAAAACAAACTAACCCTCTTACTCCTCTCTCGACTGTAAATATTGTTCCTCATCCCTGGTGCTCTTACGATTTGCTCTGACATGTGGAGAGAAAGTCGGTTACTGGTGTCAATTCTAGAAAAAGATCTAATTAAGCTGATTTTGGTGAGAGGGACAAAAAACATCAGGTACACCAGATTTTTGGTGACAGTTATGTCAGTACACGCCTCAGGATGCAGCTGCCCTTTGCCGCCTCCTCAGCCCTAAACACCAATCAGCCATGTTGCACTTAGACATAACAAGCTCACAGAGAACGGCTGCGACTTCTCTGTCACTCGCGTCTCTCTTGTGACAGGTTTTTTTTTTTTAATGAGGTAAAGGGTCAGATTCTGGGTTTGACCTGAGAATGGTTGTATACCACATAAATGATGTTTATACAGGATGCTGCAGAGGTAAACTGGATGTCTGGAGGGGGAGATTTCTGCAGCATGAGAGGATTGGCTGCGGCGGCACGAAGTGTAGACGCTGTTTATTACATTTGGTGCATGTTAAGCGCAATGTGTCGGATAGTCTGTTCGCACCGCCTGGCTGCTCTGATCTCATCCCCTCACAGAGGAGTTTTATATAAGCCTCAACTTCAACATGGCTCTCAGCGATGATTACCTCAATGATGAGGAGAGGAGAGGAAAAGAGAGGAGAGGAGAGGATCAGGCGACAAGGAAAAGTTAGGAGAGGAGGATGGAGAAAGAAAATCAAAAGGTAGACAGGGATGGGATGAAGAGATGGGGACATTGAGAGGAAAATTTAGGGGTATAAAAAGAGCAGACGGGAAAACTAGAGAGAATGCAAAGGGGGATTAGAAGGTAACATAAGAAGGGAGGACACGAATAAGAGGCAGGAAGAGAAAGAAAACACGCCAAAGAGGAGGTTGGAAGAAATCTTCTTTAATCTGAGAGAGAAAAAAAAAACAGACCTTTACATGGAAACTAAAGGGTACCTGTATATACAGTAGAGTTCAACATGTGTCTAAACAGAAGACAAGAAGAAGAAGTCAAGGGTATCCTGAAACAGACACGGGCTACGTTTACATACAGTCAATATTTGGGTCTAGGTCAATATTCCGTTTTCTGAATAACTCCAACTCATTTGGAATAACTCGTCTACATGTGTGAGCAAACAGGGTTAGGGTTAGGGTTAGGGAAATGGACCCAGAGCCTCGCTACCCTGGTACTTTCTTATGTCTACAAAGGACATTATGTTCATGTCTTTGGCCACCCTGATGAAGTGTTTTTTTTTCCTCCTCGCTCCAAAAGCGTGGTGTCGTCTTTCGTTTTGCCATTTTACAGATAGGACTATCTGTACTCAAAAGACCAAGATTCCTTGTGAACGGAACTTGCACAGAACACAAATTAATGTTCCTTTTGATGGGGATATCCAGATAGGTGCATACATGACCAAATATTTGGGTTAGAAAAGGAGTAACCCAGGGTGATTTCGGGGTTTTTAAAAACTAAAATATGAGCATATTCCATTTTTTAAAAAGGGTTATTGGTGTTTACATGGCCGCGCGCAAAGAGTATCATTAAACAGAGCTGAAAACGTTTAGTAAACAAAGGGAACAGAAATGAAACAGTTCTGTTAAAGTAACCCTGTACATGAGAATTTAGACCTTAACATGGTCATCGAAGTGTTATCTAAAGGAGACACGAAGGACGCCTCGAAGCAGTGAGTCGCCACGATTTAAAAAGTAGCACTAAAAAAACCAAACACAAACTCAATGAACTGATAATACAGGAATATTCCCCCAACTGTACTTTGGGTTTAGTCTGTAAAACTATTTTTTTTTCTTTTTAGAGTAAAACAAAAGTTTGTTAAGTTGTTAAACTTTTCAGTATGATATTCAGTCTTTGTTTTAAGAGTAACATCTCAAAAGTTTTCTGGGTTTTCTTACTGTAAAAAAAAAAGTCTTTCTGATGACAAAACTTCTGACGCACAATAAGCAGCTAATTTGAGCTTTATGTCCTTTTATCTCGGATGTCTTTTACAAAAGCACTGAGCTGTCAGATTTGCTAAAAGGAACATAAAAAGCTGATTGAAGACTGGTATTAACTGATCTGTCCCCTTAACAAATTTGGTATTATTTTTAACCAAAGACGCCGGCACACTGTCAGTCATTTCTCCCCCTTTATCAACAGGGGTTTAGAAAACCGAATATCACCATAGGCTGTCTACGAGTTCCTTCAGGAGTTTTTTATCCATCTCACAACTGCCAGTACAGCCCACCAGCGATCCCGAGGCTTTAAATACTTGTGATTGCCAAGCCTTTATAAATAGAACCAAGATGCGTCAGGCTATCGAACCCTTTGATATGGACTCATCTACAGGAAGACAAAGCATCTTTTCAGGTTGTCCAACATGTTAAATAAGAGGAAAACAAGCAAAATATTTCATAAGAGCAGACCTTTCCATATGTTTAAAAATACCTACTTAAAGTTTGGTAAGATCTAACCTCGAGATTAGGGTACCTTGAAACAGACCTAACAGTGTATTATAATGTATGATAGAAAGCAGAAGGAAAAGTTTCTTGACACACAATTTTTTTCTGTTTTTGAAAGAAAAACAGACAAGGTAAAGATAGCTCAAAACCCACCTGAACCCCCGTAGGCCAGGTTAAGAAAAAACAGGCCAAAAAGTATCTTGAAACAGAACTACGGACAACAGAAGCTCAAAGATACCTTTCCAGTATACCTAGTATACCTAAAGTATACTTAAGTATACCTAAAAGTATATTTAACGACAATCCGGTAAAGACGAGGAGTTGAAACCTAAAACCAACCAACCATGTGTAAAAAAGGAGGAAAAAATGCTGCGTTCCAGTGCTGATGCACTGCGCTGCCATCTGGGATCATGATGTTGTCGTCAAGTCAGGGTTGGCGAGGATTGTCCCACTTTACAAGTTGGAAATCCAACTTCAGGGGGGTGTTCCAGATGAATTTTCCAACTCGAAGCTCAGAAATTCCGGCTTCCGAGTATATCTGGAAAGCAGCATAAGACCAGATAACGGATTTCAAAACCTAAAAAAAACACGAGGGGTACCTAAAGACAGATGGAGTATTTTGGAGGTGAATTTAGAGAGAATTGAAGTTGAAGTTAGTGTTTTGTCCATTGCATTAGACAGTTGGCCATGAAAGAGTTAAACCATATACAGCAGAGTCAATGCAATTCTCACCAGATACTTGTATCTGGTAATGGCAGGACAACACTGCCCTCCTGTATCAATGTAGCTTATGTGTAGATGAAGATATTCTCCCAACAGTGTTTGAATTATCTCCAAGAAAAGGCTGCGAACTCTGTTCATATCAAATCATGAGACGATTGTTGAGTGTGAACACTGCAGGAGCGATGGTAGATTTCACAGGATAAATCTGACATGCTCACTTGTATGGTTTCTTCATGAAAGCAGTGAACATTGTCGAGTTTATTTTGGGGCAGGATTTAACACTAAAAGCTGTGTCCATGAGGTTTATGGAGGAAAAAAAAAAACATATTAAAAGGATGTGGGAAGCAGTGTGTTCAAAGCACGCACACATATTGAGGTAGTAATTAGTTATCAAGCCACTGCGATGTTGCCATTGATCAGTGTGCGGATCAAAGCAAAGAGCATGGCTGCAGAACTGTGCTGGCTAATTACCGGATCCTGTAAAGGATTTTGGTCTTTAAGCGTGGCCTCTAGGCCTCACCCCCATAGCAGGGATCCTGTGATCAGGGCCACGGAAGACCTGACGGGCATGGAGATGAGGCCTATGATTATAAACACTCAGCTGGCATATGTTCACCATGACTGATTGGCCTCAGCACTGCCAGACTTCACTGCTTCCCTGCAGAGGAGGCATCTGCAAGCCTTGCACTGATGTGCAGAAAATGCCTCAAAAGTGCACCATCTCTGTTTCATTCATGCTAGTTATGGTGCTTTTATCTGCCTTTATCTCCATGATGGAGCAAGAGCGGCGTCATTGTAGCCTGGCTGGGCCATCCAGTTGCGTGAATCACTTGCCGTTCCTTAGGGAAGCAACGGCAAGTGATTCACGCAACTAGATGGCCCAGCCAGGCTAGCTTCATTGCTTTTTATTGGTCATAGATGGAAAGAAACAAAACAACGAAAGACAAAAGTGTTGAAAAACTGATTCAACACACTCACCCTCAGAGGGTTTATTCTGTGGTTTAGTTAAAGTACCATAGTTAACAGTTAAAAGATGGACAAATAGTTCTCTTCCTGAAATGATGCTCAGAACATAGACCTGGGTTGATTAGTCCTTCTCCTTTACTTGTGCTCCATAATGAGCTTCTTTGTCTTGAAGACAATCAATGAGCGGTGATTACCGTATTTTTCAGAGTAAACGGTGCACTTAAAATCCTTAAATTTTCTCAAAAATTGACAGTGTGCCTTATGTATGATTACTTGTTGTGCTTACCAACTGATTTTATGTGGTACAGTGCGCTCAAAAATCTGTCAAAATATATAAGTACGACTTTGGTAAGCAAAGAAGCCGCTCCGCTCAATGGATATTCGGAGCATTACGGTACACTGTGTCACTACCTGATTGGCCAGGTAACAGGACTCCTGAGCAGTCTACAAGACTGCCTGACTGTAATGTCTAAACTAGAAGTTCATTCATGTAAGGCAGCCCGGGCCCAGAGCACACACTAGCAAAAAAAACAAACACACAAACAAACAATCAATGCTTAACTAAATCACTGCTTCACAGTGCATGAAAATACAGTATCTCAGTTCTGTTGTTCTGAAGTTGTCACATCCTGGACTATCTCCTCCCTACTGGAGATCAGTCCCACCACTGCTGAGTCACGCAGGAGGGAGCTAAGGACACTGCCCTGTGGTGCTCCTGTACTGAGGGTCAGTGGTGAAAAAGCACAAACAGCATCCTCACATCTGTGTAGTTGCCACTGCAGAGTTAGCAATGTGTGTGTGCCGGGAGAAGACATGTTTGGACTTCATAGCGCAGATTCAGGCCAGTTTCAGGCAAAAAAAAACAAGCATGTCAGCTGTCCATCTTCTGCCAAGCTTCAGGCCTGATAGAATCAGGCCAGGTCCGGCTCGGGCCGAGATTTCGCTCCCTCTCAGCATCTATATTGGCATAAAAATACAAGTCCAGCTGTGCCTTTTTCCTCTGCAGCCGCCCAGAGGCTTACACTCAATACTGAAGGTCTTTTACTCGGCCGACCTTATCGCAGTGCATAAACCTAACACAGGAAATGTTTCCCCGACAACCTGTCACACATAAGCACTTGCCACAAGTTATGGAGAGCCAGGCAGCGAGTGTGTCTGTGTGTGTGTTCCTGTGTGTACGCCGCCTGGCAGAGCACCAAGTGCACCCCTACCTCTGCTGTCAATCTTGCTCTCACACTGGAACAACCGGGGCATGTGGCCTCTCCTCTCTCCGCCGGTGCGGCTAACACACAAACACACACGTAGCACTCTCCTCCCCGCCGTGAGGCAGCCGCTGATGGACACATGGGCTCAGTGCTGCTGCAGTGGCGCTCTCATATTTCAATTACTCTGTCTCCTTTTTCCTCTCCTTCCTCCACACTGTCTCCACCTCACATCCAGGAAGAGTTTATATTCAACTTTTCCTGAAATCTCCTCTTCTGTCTGTCCACTTTTTTTTCTTGGCCAAAGAAGCGTCTTTTCTGTCATCCGCGGTCTGCTGCTTAAAACGACGGGCTAGAGGTAATAAAACGGAACAAAATGGAAACCCTACTTCTCCCCCCGCCTGATAGGAAGAAGAGGGAGAATAGAGAAGTGACAGAGGCTCTGATAGCCACTCATCCGTATAATCACATCCCGCTATTAGAATACTCCAGCTATCTGATGCCATTTGTTGTATCAGCGGATAAGCATTAGTGCTCATTAGTCACATGCATTAGCTCCTGGATTGGGCCTGACAGAGGAGTCCATGTGGGATTAATACAACCATACAGCTGAGGTGGGGGGGAGAATGATGTATAGACAAAAGGAGGGTTGATGGATGGACGGGTGCTGAGGTGGATGCGTCGACTGGCTGGGTGATTGACAGCTAAACGAAAGAACTGACATGTACGTGAGCAGGAGAGACATAAATTGACGGATAGATTGGACGGACGGAGTGATTCGAAGGTGGATAAATTGGCATATTGTCAGAGGAAATGAGAAGGAGTTTTACACAATCCTATTTAGAATGAGGATGTCAATATTATTTGATTTGAGCTAATATATGGACGTCTTTAAAAGAAGTCTCTGGGAAAAAAGAAACTCCCTCTGGTGTTAATGGACAGAAAGTCAATCATTCAAATCATTTACCGAGCAAGAACTGCGATCCATTTCTGGGTTTGACCAAGAATTTCCAACCAAGAGTCATAATTATACCGGGAGAGCTACACATCCGCATATAAACTGCACATTGCTGAACAAAATGCGATTCAGAAAGAAAGGTACAAGAAGGGGTTGTGGAGAATGTCAGATTTTGATTCATCAAACCACATGAAAGCTTTCCACTTCACCTCAGTCCAGCTTCATCTTCGTGTCATTTCTGTATCATGTTTATACAAAAGTACACTTTAAACCTGCATTTATGAAAACAGCAACAAACTGTGTTCACAGACAATCATTTTTGGGAGCAATTCTGAGCCTATGCAGTGATTTCCACTACAGAGCTATTTCTGTTTTAGAGGTGGGGCTCTTAGAATTCAAAGAATGCTGGAAACAAAGCAAAACAAACCAATTTAGCATCACTTTTAATGCTTTTTTTCACATCACAGGTCATAATCATGAATTTAGGGGGAAAAAAAACAGCAATATGCTGTTGCTGGCTCAGTTGGACAGAATCCTCAATTTAAGACAATGGTGCTCCACTACCGCATGGGTATCTACGAGTTCGCTGATAACAAATGATACTGCGAGAGCTACACATCCGCATACAAACTGCACATTGTTGAACAAAATGCACGTTCCCATGCTGGAACATAGTTTGCACAATTCCTCCTTTGACAAACCTCCAAAAAAGACTGTGTCTTGTATACAAGAGCACTTACATCGAAAGTAAATTGATGGATTTGACGTTTCCCAAGAACTAAGAACTAAAGGACAGGGGTCACAGGTTGGGCAAATAACAAAACTGCACCTTAAAAATGAAAGTCAAACAAAATGGCTCCTTGTATTTGTCAGGTCCCTATAAATGTCTTCTTCTTTGGTGCCTTCCAAGAAGTTTGGTCAGGGGACTTTTACTCCAGAATGATATAGTCTCATTGTAAATAAAGTCATACTGAGTGCCATGGCGCTGCTATATCTTCACGGTTGGACAGAAAGAGGTTAATTTGTAAGCGCACCCTTCCTCTGTCATGATTGACGTTATCCAAGTTGATCCCAAATGATTGATCAAGAATATAGCTGTTATGCTAATCAGCGATGAAATAAACACAACAGTCCTAATTTACTCACGCATAAGTGCTTTACAATGTCTGGGTCTGGCATTTGTTTGTGCAACTCTTATTAAATCACATTCAGTCTCACTGTGTGCAAATAGCAACAGTCCAGTTCCCCATGGGCATCATTAAAGTTTAATCAAATCTGAATTAATCGTGCGTGCTCGTGAAGAAGCCGATCAAAATGTCTCATTAGAATCAATCATTCGGGTTAAGGACTCCTCATAAAAAGAAAACTGCAGAGCTGATGAGTTCGAGAACAAATATGTAATCAGACAAACATGCTGTCACATTAGAAGTGTGTGGGTAATGCCTGTTTTGTTTTTTTTTTCCTCCAAGTTCTGCAAACACAGCATGTGCCAAAAAGTGCAAAAGTACACAAAGTCTTAGTTCATGGTCAAGTACGGATTCTTGTATTTCAAGTTCTGATGTAGTACTTCTACTGAAGTAAAGCAAAAAAAAAAAAAAATAACAGGTTCTACAGCGCCCTCACAGTCAAGAAGTAAACATGCACTTCTGCAACACGTTTCTGAATTGCTGAAACTCTCATTTGTCTCTCCTTGCTGAAATATGAAGGTCTTCCCTCAAGAAGATTTCATCTAGATCGCAGCACATATTGCTCCAAAACCTCTATACCATCAGGGGCTCTAGCTTTTAACATGTGCATACGTGTGGTTCCTCTCCTGTTTAGATTGGAGGATGCAGCGTCCATGATTCCGAAAAGGAACCTTGATTTTTATTCACCGGACCAGAAGACAATTTTCCATCAGAGCCAAGAGGAGTCACTTCTGGAACCTTATTTTTTCAGATTGAACCAGCATGTCATACAAACTGTTTTCATATGAATTTTGTATAATATTTTAAGCACATGCAGAGATTTCCACTACAAAGCCATGTTTTTTTAAATACAGAGTTTCTTGAGGGGCCGAGGAAACTCTCTAAAATTGTCAAGGATATGTACTGGAACGATATATCTTCAACTTCTCTGCAGTTTTACACACAGGAACCTTCATCTGAAATTGTTGAACTCTTTGCCCACACAGTCTCTCACAGAAGGACAAACCTCTTACCATACTTACTTCTGACTCAGCCAGTCATGTAAATAATCTCTTAGAAATTGACCTTTTTTTGTAAATTAGACATTTTTAGTTTTTTTCAACTTTTCCAAACATTTTGTTGGCATTAAATGTAAAATTTGCATATTTTTCCAAGAACAAAAACATGTTTTCAGTTTAAACATGTAATACGTGTTTAAATGAAATCACCCAAATCTGTTTTTAATCAACATTCTGTTAAATTGAGGTTGTAAATATTTTTCATAGTAAGCATTAAAAAATACAAAATAAAACAGTCAAATCCCCTCATGTTCTTTTTTTGTCACATAAAAGCTGTAGTTTTAACTTCTGTTTGTTTTCATGACCGTTTAAAACTCCAAAAACTACCTTAAAGGACAGTCAGTGACTTCCCGCCTCAGCGTGTAGTCGTGTCTTCTCATTCTTGACAAACTGACAAATGTTCTCCCTCTGTTTCTTTCTATTTTTCAGTCGGGTGGGGGGGTGACTGGACCTGCCCCGGTAAATGTTAATCATTAGCACATCCCTATTAGAGGCAAGCAGATGCCACCTCCACCTCTGTGCCGCTCCGTGTCTTGTCTAAATGAAAGCCGGGGTCAGAAACACAGCTGGGACACACAGGCAGATACAGAGAGTGAATGAGGGATGAAAGAGGAAACAGAAGAAAGCGAAGGTTGTCTGCGGGAGTGAGAGGAGTGTGTTAGTTGAAGGTGGCCGACACGACTCGGTGCAGAGTGGGAGCCTCGGTGTTGCTGAACTGGCTAAAGTAATGAGGCCGGCATAGCGGGGAATACGGCTAATATGGAAAGATCAAACTGCTGCTACACCTCTAGGAACCCGCTCCCTGGGATCCCTGCACTTAGATGTTACACCCTGCGGGCTCACACACACGCACAAACACAAGCGGACCACACACACTAGGACCACACAAGTTTCTGAGGCTTCACGCAAAGTATGTTTTACATGAATAATGATGTTTTTAACAACATAAGATGCCTGAAACTGGCAGATTTCCTGTTAAACTCATGAATTTCACTGATCCTTAACTTACATAGACATAATAATCTTGTCGATGCAGAGAGTTGTGTGCACCAGTGATACGCCTTTTGGGTCTGTTTAAGCCTTAAAATGATATGTTTAAGAACTGACGGGTTTGCAGACACTAAATTATCTTCCTCCATGTGTGATTGGTCACAAATATTCAGGACTTTTTAAGGATCGTCTCTGCAGCTGTAGTGATGGCTCAACTCTTTCAATCAAAGCTAAAGTTGTGAAGCAGCCAGGCAGACAGATCAGGAACAATTTGCTCCGGATGCATACCCAGATATTTTAGAGCAGAAAAAGGTTTTAAAAATATACGTTTTAAAAAACACTGATGCTCTTACATGACTTTTACACCTAAAAGCACCAACATTTTACTCCCTGGTGTTAATATCTTGCAGGCTTTTGCATAGAAGTTGTTTATGAGCATGTTTTGTGAATTTAAGCAGGAAGTGTGCAGGTTTTTTTTTCTGCCTGAAAGCACGCTAACAGTACGAGTTTCCTGCCAGGTCTGACTAATATGCATCTTTGGTAGCTGAACAAGGTACATGATGCACATTTTAAATACACTTTGAGAAAAGAGATTGTCAATAAGTTGTGCTTTGCAAGTTTTTGTAAAAGTAGAAGAATTTTTAAAGCAGTTTTATGATGAGCATTGTGTATTTGTGTTTTAGAAATAATGCAAAACACTGCGTCTTAACTGTAAATACTTACTTTGGCGTCATTTTTAATTAAAAAGGATAACTTCGGGGTTCAAAGGTGTTAAAGTATCGTTCTCTGGTTATTCTGCAGGCTCATTATGTCTCATGTGAAATATACTGGACCAAAGGATCATGCAGCTGTGTCAGGGGCGGTCGCACTTTACAGCCTTCATGCAGACAAAATGAGCAGGAAATGACGCCAAAGCTCTATCTGCATTGCTTGTTTTGCTTTATTGTGTCTATGTACAAAAATGAAAAAAGGCAGATTGAGTGAAAGACTATGATTTTATATATTTTTTCTGCCTAAAAGCACACTGACAGTACAAGTTTTCCTGCCTATGCATCTTTGGTTAGCTGAACAAGATGCAGATGCTCATTTTACATAAATTTTGAGGAAAGAAATTGTTGTTAAGTTGTGTTGCTTTGCAGGTATAGAAAAGTTGCAGCACTTTTAAAGCAGTTGTATGATGAGCATTGTGTATATGAGTTTTAAAGTTGTTGCTGAAATGCGAATCACTGCGCCTGAACTGTAAATATTTACTTTGGCGTCATTTTTAATTAACAAGGAAAACTCAAAAGTGTTAAAATATCGTCCTCTGGTTATTCTGCAGGCTCATTATGTCCTGTGTGAAATATACTGAACCAAAGGCTTGCAAAGGATTGTGCAGCTGTGTCAGGGGCGGTCGCACTATACAGCCTTTCTGCAGACAAAATGAGCGAGAAACGATGCCTAAACTCTATCTGCATTGCTTGTCTTGCTTTATTGTGTCTGTGTACAAAAATGAAAAAAGGCAGATTGAGTGAAAGACAAAGACTTTTCTTTTTCTTTCTCTTTTTTTTGCGAAGGACGCGCATAAAAACCACACACACTAGCGCGCACTGCGAATACAAAGTGCGAGCTGTAACGGCTCCCGAGGGAGACCTTGTCAAATAAACAATGAGACACGATTAAATGACATTATTATAAGAAACTAGCTCCAGTCATCAGGGAGAAGAGAGAGAGAGAGAGTGAGAGAGAGAGAGAGAGCGAGAGAGAGAGAAGGGGAGGAGAGGTTTACATTTGCATCCTTCATTAGGTAATGGAGTTACCGCCTTGTGTCAGGACATGTCGATGCCAAAGCAGACGTTTATGTTCCTCGTGTACGGCATCCTTCTCATTTAAACTCTACAGGCCTGTCAGAGCTGCCTGAGCGAGGCAATCGCTCACTCTCGCACACATATACAGTACACACGTTTACACACACACACATTCAAAAAGAGGCTGTATGCATTCAAGCATTCTCTAAACTAATAAACCTGCCTATGGACTTAGCCAGTCTTAGTCTGAAGTGTCATTAGAAGTGGCAGGCAGCTGTGGCAAGCCTGCGAGGGGCTAAGAAGCTTGAGCTCCCACCGCCTGTAATCCCTGCAAACAAAGTGCACGCCGCGCTGCAAAATAAATATATAAAAGTAAATAATACATGCAAACACGCCGACACACACGTGTATACATACACACACACACACTCAGGGTGTTACAGTAGGTGATGCGAAAAAGACGCTTTTGGAAAACTTCAAAGTGACAGTGAAAATGCGAAGTCATGTATACGGCAATCCGCCTTAAAAAGTAATCTGACACGCTGACGGCTACAGGAACGTGTGAGGTGCACAAACCCACACAAATAAACACACGCACACACAAACACACACATGCAGATTTTGATTTTACTTTGAGGGAGGCAGAATAAGAAGCATACTTGGCAGAAAGACACACATAAGGCTTGCTAAGTGGTAATAAAGGCCAGAGCTTATTAATGGGACAATCTGACAACCAGCAGTACTGAGGCTTCACACAGACACACACACGCACACACACACTCCTGCAGCCTCCTTCCTGATAGCTGTAAGTTATTGGGGAGGAGGTAATGTTGCCGGGCAGCGTCTCCCTACAGTCACATTTCCACTTGGAGATGAAACAGCTAATTGGACATGGGACCTTCTCAGCTCTGCAGACTCTTGTAATGGATTTGGATGAGGAAGAGAGCGTCCCTCCCCGCCCTGCTTTACTTCACATTTTATAATCCTCTCTTGCTTTATCTGCTTCCTCAGAAGCCCTCAACCAAAACAGATCTAAAGCCAGTTACCCTCCATTTTAATTTAAGAAACAGTTTACCCAGCTTTAAGTGGGGCTCACTGCAATTTGGCAAATATACAGTCACAATATTTTTCCCCGAACCGTTATCAAATGTAAATAATTTGATAATTCATCAGCTTGAGGGGTATCCCAATGATCATAGAGCCGGTGATCAACCTCCTATTATGGTTTATTAACATGTGCCTCATGTTGGCTGTAGTGTTTTTCTCACCTTGTTTACCAAGAAGAAATCGTTAAATAGGGTCTTTATAGTGCTGGACGATAATTCGATAACAATATATATCGATCGATAGACGTGTGGTGCGATAGAAAAAAAACGGGTCGATAAAAAGTTCGATAGAAAAACACAGTTTCCCTTTCTTTTTCATCATAGCCTATCATGTAGCTTTTACTACAGTCATTACTTCCTCCTAACCAATCACAAACGCAGACCCAGGTACGCTACGGCACCAAGCCCAGCCCCTATCAAACCACAACAGACAGCACGTGTATTAGAAAAAATGATACAGCACGGAGAAGCGGAGTACATTGTCCCGAAAAAAGGTTTCAGTAGTTCACCAGCATGGCAATGTTTTGGTTTTTAGAAGTCTGACAAAAAGCGAACAGCGGTCGTTTGCAAAATTTGCGGAGAATTAGTAAAAACCAAGTCTGGTAACACAACCAACCTGTTTTACCATCTAAACCGATCGCACCCGCAGGAGTACGAGCTGTGTCGGCCGCGCCGCGGCTCCACGTCGTTGTCGTCGGAGGAATCCTCTGGAACCGCTGCCAGCACCAGCACAAAGCATGTGAAGCAGACCAAACTGGACTTTGTTTCTTGCCAAAATACGACAAAGCGTCCGAGCGGCATAAGGACATCACCCATGCAGTAACATGCTCCATAGCGAGGGACATACTGCCAATAACTACCGTTGAAAAGCCTGGCTTCGACCAGCTTCTAGCCACTCTCGACCCGCGATATGAAGTGCCCGGCCGCAAGTATTTCTCAAACACAGCGCTTCAGGCATGAAAATGGGTCAGGGGTTGAAAAGGTGAGAAGGGTGCGGAGGAAATACGTTCAAATGAGCTCATATTTTACAAAGACGCGAGTATTTGGATCATGGCTACTAGCAGGGGGTGCATTCGGCAGGGGTGCATTCTACGACACAACACCGGCGTGGATAAGTCCTGCTTCTCGTGCTTAGTTTGTGTATTAAGTCAATCACATGATAATTAAAAAAAATAAATCTCCCGACCCCGGGAGAAATATTTAAGTGTTCAGACACCAGGCTGTGGGCAGTTTCCCACACAGTTAAAACTGGTAGTATGCTATTCCCACCTAAAGCTATTCTGTTTATTTATATATTTGTTTGTTTTGTTTATTTTCATCAAAAGACTATTTAAATATTTATTTATCAGATTTTCTGGTCACTTTAGTCTTTATGTTTGTCAGTATTTACTGACGTCACTCAGGCCACTTAAGTTGATTTCTTTTTTTTTTTTTAGTTCTTTTTTAAAAAAACTTTCAGTTGTGGTAAAATGAAAAGGTGGTTGAATAAAGGTTTGAATTTGAATTCAGTGCTTGTGTGTTCTTTATTAAAAGTAGGTCATTAAGCAATAGCATAAAACATCCAGGGCTGCAATTAAAATATATGTTAAATAATTATAATAATTATATCGATAATTATCGATATCGATCAATATGATTTATTTTTTATCGATATGCTTTTTTTCTATATCGTCCAGGCCTAGGTCTTTATGAAGCTTTTCTACAGACACAACATGGCAGTGGAGGCTGCTAGCTGAGCCACATCTACCTCAGCTTGTTTTTTGATTACTTTGGTGAGTTTATGGACCTCAATGTTGTACTTAAATCAAACTCAGTACTATCAGGAACTGCAGCCTCTTGTATGTCCACTAGAGGCTGGTTGCAAAATCCAATGAAACCCTAATTTGGACCCATTTTAAAATGCCAGGGGCTGTGAGCTGAGCTGTTTGCCAAGCTGGTGTCTTGACCTTTGCTTATATTTTGGCTTAAAAGTCAAAGGTTTAAACACAGACAAGTTAGCCAAAGAGGTCTCATTTCCCACATAGCAAAACACTCAAACGCTCAAAAAATGTGGGGCTGCGAGCCAAGCTGCAACCACGATATGTGTTTGAAATATTGTTACAATTTTTGATCTTCACAGGATCATGGGACTTCACATTCACTGTCACATCCATATATATAAAACAGACACAGGATGGCAGGAGGAGGCTGCAAGCTGAGCTGTCAGCTTGTTCCTTATTTCCTCAGTGTTATAACAAATGTGACACGTAGTTCAAAGCTAACAATACTCGAAAAAAAAATTGTCTTATCAAAATTCACTGTCTTGTGATCTTGTGTGGGGCTGCAAGCCAAGCTGCTGCCTCAACATGTATCAACGTCATGAAAAAACTCAGTCTTAACAGGATTATGGGCCTTTTCTTCCACTGTCCCGTTCACGTTTCTAAAAGACACAGAATCTAAAAAGGGGGCTGTGAGCTGAGCTGTTAGTTCGGCTTGTTTTCTTAACATTTCTCAGGATTTAACCGACTTGATCCATCCACAGAGGTTTCTTCCACTTGGTCACTAAGCTACCAGGTAACCAGCAGCTAAAAACATTTTTAAAAAACTAGCGTCCAGTTGAAAACAGCATCACAGGTCCGGTGTGGGGGGCTACAAGCAAAACTGCTAATCATGGTACCTCACTTTTTAATTCTCTTTTATGACCTTTGGTTACACTGGTTGTTTCACTTTTTCAAAGAAGACACTTTGTTATCTCAGCCTGTACTGCACAGCACAGATGTGTCATGTACACAGAATGAAAGCAGACAAACTCAATGTTGTTGCTGTTTACACTACACAATTTGGTGGGGTTAATATTTTGCCTGATCCTCTATTGAGGGTGCTTCATCACAATACATGTGATGGTTGGAAGGTTAAACTTGACCTTGCTATTCTGCCACATGATGATGAACACATGTGGTCAGAAAAAAGAAAAAAGGTGAGTCACCTGTTTTAATCACTTCAACATGACAAGAAAGGATAGTCTAGTCCCTGGTCTCGTTGTCTTTTCTCCTTTCTCTTTTCCACCTGGCCGTGAAGCTGTTGAAGCATCAGAGATATTCATTTTGAAACACTCTCAGCTATTACATCTTCTTTATGTGGAAGTGTTTATCTCCATCTCCATCTATCTCTCTCTCTCTTTCTCTCTCGCTCTCTGGCGCTCCTGGTGTGAGTTTCTCTTTGAAAAAGCTTTCTAATTAGCACGTACAACACACAGCCGGGGTTAAATTTAAATTGCTGAGATACAAGGAGGTTGAGGTCAACAGCTCGGCAAAAACCGTCAGTATAGATAATTGGAAGATATAATTTTTTCTCTCTGCTTTTCCTTTGCTAAATATCTATGATCAAAATGACACCGGGTGGCACGCAGACAGTTTGGCAGGGTGGCAGTGAGCTGAGAGAAAGATGCCTTATGAAATATGAATTTATTTTTAGAGATAGAGGGAGACAAGTAATTAGAAGTGCAGAGAGAAAATCACTTAAATGTCTCTTCTCAGTGTGTCTTTAACCAAACCCTCCAGCACTAAGAGAGAAAAAACTTCTGTAAAAACTCAGAGATTAGGAGCTGTATTAGTCTAATGGAACATAATTCGACAAAGTTATCTGCTGCAGAGGTGCTAACTGCTGTAAATGACAGGAAGTGAGCGGGCCGAGGAGAGGAAGCCCGTTCATGAGCTGTAATACCTGGACCAAATGACCCCTTTTGATTGGTGCTTGAATTTCGCTGTGATAAAAGTCTAAATCTTGTTGACGAAATCCTTTTGAACCTAAAGTTACATACTTGGAAAAGTGAGTTAAATACATTTTACAAAAAGGAAAAATTGAGTCTTCCATCATGTGCAACAGACTCTGGACATACTTGAGGCAAAGCTCCATAAGGATGGCAGTATCCACTCTCTTCTGCTTCTTCCTACTCTGCGCTCACACTAAACACAAAAACGCACATGTTGCATGGTATGGCATGTGTGATCGTTTGGATTTGGCTCTAGTTTGTCCATTCTGTGCTATTGTAGAGACGTAGGAGAGCAAGATGGTGGCCTCCTCAGAGAGGGACCGGCTCCTCAAAACCTCGCTTGGGGGCTGAAAATATCCTTGTTCACCGATGGGCGCCTTTGGGAGCCTCTACTTACTTACTTACTTCAGCCCACCTATGGAGCAAAGGCCATCGACAACTCTTCTCCATCCAGCACCGTCTTGGGCAATCCTCTCCACCTCTCCCAAGCTAGGACCATAACTCTTTAACTCTGTCTTAGTGTCCCGCCTCCAGCTGTTCTTGGGTCTTCCCCTCTTCCTCATCCCCTGAGGATTCCAAGTCAGGGCCTGGCGTGTGATAGTGGCCGATGAAAGTGTGGCCAATCCAGCCCCACCACCGAATCTGGCTCTCTACTGGCTCCTCTCTCCCTTTCTGCCACAGCTCCTTTATCGTAAATTTTTGCCACCTAATTCCAAGTATGCACCTCAGACAGCTATTTATAAATGTCTGGATCTTCTGCAACATCTTTTCTGTCATTCTCCACGTCAACTACCCCACCCCGGAAAAGAAACCCAGTTGCTAAAGCATCGACATCAAGTATGGAACATCAGAACCTTGTACGAATCAGGCAGGACAGTACAGGTAGCACAAGAGATGAGGAACTATGACATCCCCCTCTCGGGTCTTGGGAACCTCTGATCTGAACTAAATTTTAAAAAAGTCCTCAGCTGATTGTAATTAAAACTAAACTGATTGAGTTGATTGAGTTTCGCTTCAAAGTAAAAGTCCCATCAGATTTTTCTGTTGAGTGAGTGCCCTTGGTTTCTTATCGTGCTCTTATTTTGAAGGAGTGTTCTGGACACTGGCAAAGCTCAACATTTGGCAACTTGTGGGGCAACAAAGTTTTCTAACCCTTAAACCCAAAGTTACATCATGCAGTTATAGAGCACATTAAACAGTATTAATGAGTACTAATAAAGTATTGAGTTTAATAATTCCAATAATAAAGGATGACGTTCAAATGGAAATGTAGACAAATACTAGCGCCTTGTTTTTCACTGGGTATGGATGAGTTGAACTTAATTTCTTACACATAACTGAACAAATAAAGAAACAACTTCATACCAGGGGAAGAAAATATCTCCTCTTTGACTCATTTGTACAGACTGAAACAAAATACACATTAATAATCAATCTGAGAGATGTCAGAAGACATGTTGGGAAATGTAGGAAAACACACTCGAGTTAATCCGTCTGCATCAAAAAGACTAAATGTAGTTTTACTCCAAAAGCGACTCCTGAACATTTTAATTAAAGTGTATCGGTGTAAAACAATCCCTTGGAGGTTTTTTACTATCGCAGAAATCTGCTTTGTTAGTACTAATGAACAGAGCAGCGGCAGAGAGCATCGGCACGTTAAAGTAGAGCTTTTAAAAGCACGACGAGTCTGGAGTGGAGTAAACAACCCAGACAACAAAAGATGCATGCAACATGGGGAGTGTGAGGAAGGGGGGTAGAGGAGGAGAGGGGGGCACTCTGGGAAAATGAGAGAGCAATATGTCAGCATGGTAACACCTCTAAAAGTCACCGAAATGCCAGGTCACCCTTCTCGACGGGGAGAATCAAACCACGCGGCGAGTGTCTGAGAGCGCCTCGCGAGTTTACAGCATCACACAAACACACACAGGCTGCAAAAAAAAAACAAGAAAACAACGAAGCTGCAGCTGACCGCGGCTGCTGCTGCAGCTGTCAACAGCTCTGTCACCGACCGGCTGAGATATTTTTTTATTTGTTATAAGTGTGAGATGCTACTTTTGCCTCTGCTCTTTCATGATTATTCCTTTAATAAAGCCTCTGAAGGTGGAAGATGAAGTGTTTACCGAGGCTTGTGTGGGCCTCGGTAAGCGTGCGTGTTGTATATGTCCCTGGCACATTGTCTCGCACAGAGGTAGGTGGGAGGATGATGAAGAGAACGTGCGTTAAAAATTTATTTCGGCTTTATTAATATTGCAAGTGGATGGGTGTGATGTACAAACCGATGACGACACCCCGCTCTGGAAAAAGCCTCCCACATTGCTCGCTTGGCACGACCCGCTGAGCCTTGGTTCGCAGCAGAATAAACAACATCTCCTCTAACCACGCTTTGCAAATGCAGCCTAACTGTTTGACTTTGGCTCTGACACAAACTTGAACTGCTGCGAATTCCCAATCTTCTCCACCCCCTCCCCCCACCATCTCCCTCTCTCCCAATCTCTCATCATATCTTAGCGATCAGTGAACCCTGAAAGATCTCCAAGTAGAAAATTCTTGGTAACTGAAACACGAGACGTCTGCTGGGATGTCATCTCGGAGCTCACCCGCCGACTACCAGAATCAGACAGATATTGTGTTTTAGAAAACGTGCTGCTTTTTCAATAGAAGTAATTCACAAGAAGCCTTCACAAAAAAAAAAGAAATAAAAATAGAAATCTGTGATTCTGAGAACAATCCCTCTTTTCAAATGAGCTCCTGGAGCACAGAGGCTGCAGCGCTGTGGCACTTTGAGGGTTTACCGAGGCAGGGCTGTAAGTCCTTGTTCGAGTAATCTCTCAGTAAGGAATAATCCGTGCAATTGAATGAATGGGATATTGATTATACACATGTATGTCCCGGTCCAGCGTAATGGCAAACACAAAATGTTGGCATCCACCGCAGGAGTCAAGCCTCATCAAAACAACTCTGTGCCTCGATCTATGCAGTGTATATCCTTCGCTTACCTACTGTGCACAATACACACATGTGCAGCAGCTATCTGAATCCTGTGAATGTGTGATGGTATACTAGATTACTGCTCCATACAGATACAGATCTGCTCAATGATCATAGATGTCCATGTATTTTTGTATTGCATTGTCATTTTTGTCCCTGATTTTTTTTAAAAGGGCACCTCAAGAAATTAAGGACGACATCAGCAATTTAGATTTGAGGAGATCTAACAACAATATGGCTTGTATACTTGACTTCAAGGGTCATGTTTTTGAATTACCGTAATTGCCTGTAAAGTAATGAACCTTCACGAGTAAGTAAGTTAAGGGGAACACGTTGATGTTTGTGTTAAATCTGTCACTTCACAGATAGTTGGTTCCAGGTTTGAATCCCAGCAGGGGGCTTCTCAATCTGAATTCAGACCAAACTTTTGAGTTACCATTATGTTCTGGATATTAGATGAACCTATAGAAGAAAAGCCTTCATGACAGTATATTACTCTGGAGTCACAGCAAGTAGGTTCTAAGTTTTAATCCTGGCAGAGGCCTGTTAGAGTCGGATATAACAATGGCATGAAAAAAAAAAAGTAATAAAGCCGGGAATGTAAAAGCTGACCCAAAATGTAACAAGTTGCGACATTTTAGGCAAAAAAGTTACTACATTTTGGGTCATTGTTACATATTGGGTTCTAACAAGGCCTCCCCACAAAGTTCTGGGTCCCAGCTCTGGGAAATGCAGAAAGCATTTGAAGCACCATAACAACATGGTGAAATGAAAAGACCTACAATGTTAAGCACTGCCAGGCCTGTTAAGGTTTATTTAAGTGAAATGGTCATGGGTTCAAATCCCTGACTGGGGCCACCACAAAGAGGGAGATCAAATCCTTGCACATTAGTATATGATGTGCTTTTGATGAACTCCCATAATGACATGGTGAAATGAAAAAGGGAAGTGCTGCCGGGCTCCTTTGGGGTGGGATGGTTGGGAAGTTTGCTTGAAGTGAAATGGTGAAGGGTTCGCATCCCTTACAGGGTCTGTTCTTGTGAGGAAAAAATGAAGTGGTTTTGGAAATTATGCTGAGAAAGTAAGAAGACAGAAAGAAGAAAGGGTGAATACTTCCAGGCTCACATGTGGGATGGTTGTTAGGAATGCCACTTTGGGTAATATGGGTTGGGGTCTTTCCTTGCAAGAGGAACTTTGAAATCTAAAATGTGCTTTTGAACAACCGTAACAAAATAAATTAAGGTTAAATTTAAGGTTATCAGGGTGATTAGTATTTCTATGTTTGATCATAGAAACACAACTATCCTGAAAGTGTTAATTCTTTTATCAATCGACAGTTATTCTAGATTTGCAACAAAAAAAAGCTTAAGTATGAGTTCAGTCATACAAGTCCTAGTTTCAATAGTTTAAAATATTCACTGCAGCTGCATATTTTAGTTTGACCTAAAGGCTCTAACCTCATCACCTCTCTTAGTTTTATTTCTATGCAGAAGTCAAGGAGTTATGACATGATATCATAAATCCCCTGTTTAGAGCCTGCAGGTGGATCCTGGGGTTGAAACCGAGACCAGAAACTTTGTGGTTTTGAAAGCTGCCGAATTGGGGAGATATATTTTTGTCAGGTTGTTGTGAAAATGATGCATGTCAAGTATAAAATCAGTGCAGCTTGGATTGCTCTGCGCAGCTCCATTTAATTACCAAGCGATAATGGCATATGATTAGAGATGGCATCTTGTTAAATGTAAAGATTGTATTATTTGCGTGAAGAAAAAAACAGTCGAGTTAATTAACAATTGAAGGACTCGTTTCTTGAAGTCCTTGAAATGAGGATTTATCATGTCGAACCAGTTTCATTAACAGAAAATATAGATATTGTTTATAATCTATAAATACACAACTCAAGTTAATGTCTCTCTCACTGCACAAACACACACAGATGGGCCCATACACATATTAAGTAACAAAAAACCCCCCAAAGACACAAAACCTCAAAGCTTATTTACTTTGCGTGTTGCTCTGAAGTGTTGGGCGGAGTGGGAGAGGGTTCAGAATAGACGGCGGTGGAGTCACCAGGAGGAGAAGAAGCGCAGCTCTCAGCGGATTCGGCTCGGCTCATTACGGCAGCAGAAGAAGAAGAAGCTTTGAACAACACGCCATGTTTGAAAGCAGGAAGCACAATACTGAGAAACCACCTTAATTAAATGGCATCAGTGACACTAAAGGGAAGGTTGGGGAAAATAAACACGGGGAGGGGGTTTACATATTCACTCGCATTAAGAAGGCATGTTTTTTGGCACAACGGTATTTTAGTTAATTACATTTATAACCATTTTAACTCTAATTTTTACTCTATTTTACATGTGAGACGATACTCATTATCTAGTTTATTGTCTTTTAAATTTTAAAGGACTTTTCTGTGAGCTTACAAACTTTCTAATTAACAGTATAACCAGTAAGTTTGCAAACTTAGGAGTCTTTAACTTTTAAAGCTCTCTTTGCAAATAATCTGAACACTCCATTATAAAACTAAACACACTAACAGGAGTGTTAATGAAAAAGTTTTTGATACTGATATTATTGAAAACTGGCTCAATTTAATCTAAAACCCACAGGAGGACAACAAAGTTGACAGCTCATAATTGGTTCACCCTAAAGCATCGCTGCTCCAAAACTACGATAAACAACATACGTATCATCTTCAGCACACCACTTCAAGTTCTTGAAAGCTGTATTATTCACACAGCCGTTCTGTTTCCTCCCGCTCGCAGTCTTTATTGTGCTAAAAAGGATCCAAATGAAACTAATGCCAATTAGGATGGCAAACAAGCACGAGAACCGACGCGCTGAACTGTTTGTTCCCGCCAAATTGATTCTAATAAGACATTTTGATGTATGAAGATGCTGGTCGGCTTCAGTGAGGAGTTTTAATGAGACATGAAGTTGTAAAATATGACTATTTAAGGCTCCTGCACCTGAAAAAGACAAACATTGAGAGTCATAATTGGAACTTTTTGTGAATGTTTTTAGGGAAATGTCATCACCGAAAGTGCGGCCATACGACGTCTGTGCAACAGCTTATCAATGCCGGAGTTAATGTTTAGAGTGAGATAATTATAAGGACTGAAAAGGAGGAAATTAGGTAGCAAAAATCCTGCTATGGTAGTTCTGTCAAACACAAGACTATTGTAAACTAAATGCTGTCATGGATCCTGCAACTGATGGTTGTTGAGTATGATTTGGTTTCCAAGTCACTTTTACATTAGCCATACATGTGCAAAACTTGAGGGATTGGAAAATGTGAATCCACTGTTTATATGGGTGCAAAATCAGATAATCGATCGTACAACTATATTCATATTAGAAGCGTTTGTACATGCGCAGAATTGTCTAATTTCGCGAAAACAACTGCAGAAGAAGAGTTGTATTTACGCCTGTGCTGTCAACAAACAAACAGAGAGTCACAATCAGAATAAGTGTTAACATGGACTCATTTCAAAATAACGATCTGTGTAAACCACCACTCTCGATCAGGACACAATGCCTTTCCAATTGAGCCGAATTGGATCAGAATCTTACAATCGACATGTTTGTTGTATTTTTGTTCCAATTGGGCCATTATTCCGATTATTTGTGCCCATTGAATGCAGCTACTGACATGAAATCTGCCATTATATTAACACGTTACACAACCCAGACTTGTTTATTTGTTAACAGCCCTGTGCTGGTTATGTTTGGCTTTCTTCTTTTGGAAATATGACATTTTAAGTTGTCAAGGATGTAATTTGACACCTGTACTGGCTTACATAAAAGTCAAGTAGGGATGTCCCAATCCAATATTGATACTGGTCCAAAAAACAAATATCGGATTATTTTAGCATGAATCTAAAATCTCTGATATCAGTACCCTGATTCGAGCAGTCCATTCCAGATTCAGCTCCAGCACCTTTATCTAGCAACAGCCAGATCCAGCATGCAGAGCCCACGTGATCACAACAAAAGTGTGTACTAAGGTACTAATAAGGAGTGAAAAGACATTGCAGCTAAGTAAAAAACTTGTCATGCACAAGTTTGTGCCAATATCAAATCAATATTTGTATCGGCCAATACTGAAGGCTCCAATATCAGTATTTTATTTAAAGTAAAAAAGTTGTGTTGGGACACCTTTAAAGTCAAGCACTGTAGCTGTAGCATTTGGCTAGTGGTGGTTTGGCTTCGCTAAAGTATAGACACAAGAAATGAGAAATATTAAAAAACTGTGCAGTAGGACAAAATGTAAACTTCCATATCTGGAGGATATCCCATTTATGTAATTGAATCTACTGTAAATATCTTATATCTGTTAAAAAACATGCCCAACATGTTTAATTTAACCCAGATACACTGATGGGATTTGAGGTAGCAGCCAACAGGATGTGGGATTTGTCTCTGGTAATGACGTGCCTACTTTACTGGGTTCAAACAGCACCCAAACTCACCTCTATTTTTGTTAACCAAAGCAGTTTAGTTCCATGGGTAAGCCCTACCTGATTTAAAGCATTTAATTCAATCAACAATCTGTAATTCAGTCCAAACACGAGGCTATGAGAAGCACTAATTTGGGAAACTCTCCAGTAGGATCAAACTTGTTACGAGGTTGCGTCGGCTGGTGGACTTTTTGGGGTTTTGGAATACCAAAGTTATAATGAATGGTCCCCTTCAACTTTTGGAAACTGAATTGCAAAAATCTGGTATCACTCCCCATTGGCTGAGCCTTTAATAAATGTATTTATGAATGTGTAACTGTTTCGTATCTCGAAAGGGTTCAACAGGCTGCCTCGCCACAGATCCATCCTCCTCACCAACTTGGCCTTTGAGAACGGGAGAATTCTAATGAGTTTCTCCCCACTTTCACTTTCAGTTTGTTCCCACACACACACACACACATATATACACACATGTACACACACGGTTTAATGAGTGTGCCCTGCGCTTTCCTCATTAGCCACACAGAGTCTTAACGCAGGCATCAAATGCAATGCCCCGCCACCCTGACAGGAAAAGAGAAAGGAGGGAAACGATCTTCCCCTGCTTTCCTTTCCCCTCCTTCCTTTCTCGCCGTCGTTCCTCTTTCCCAGAGGTTAAAACATTTCATTAAGTAGCCACATCCATTCTGAAACTGATGGCGGTGAAAAAAACCCTAAATACACCTCTACATCTCTCTCTCTCTCTCTCTCTCTCTATAAGATGTTGACTAACTTAGATCGCAGCCAAGATCTTCCCTTCCCGTCTCCTTTTTCCGTGGGCTGAGGGAGGCTATTGTTGCCATGGCAGTGATGCATATCTTGCCATGTAGAAATGGAGAGGTGGTAGGAGTGAGTTGACAGAGAATGAGAGTGTTTGGCCACCTGCTCAACCCCTTAGAGTCAGACTCAACTCAATATAGCCGCCGGGAGCAGCGCGGAACGTAAAAAAAAAAGAGCCTAAAACAGCACCTACGAAAAAGCTCCAACTTGAAGAGGATGAGCTCCTCAAAGAGTTTCAAGTGTCAGACATGAATGTCACAATAGCTTGAGAAGCGTGCTTGTTTTATGACAGAAACATCAGTGTGACAGCAGCCTATGATGCACAAAGTCTGTCATTGTAGTCAGGGCGGCGGCGGCGACGAAAGGAGGTGCTGGTTGGTAGGAGAATGAATGAGAGCAAAGCAATCTTTTCATTTTGTTTTTCACAGGACGGGTTTGTCAAAAAATTTCACATAGACTTGAAAAGACTATAGAGAGGGCGGAATAATGTGAGGGAGTGACTGAAGGGTCTGAAGAAAAGGGGGTTAGTGTTTTTCAGCGTGAGACGCCTAGAGCCACTGCAGAGTCATTAGAGTAGATTTGTCACATTAACAAAGGAGGAGGAATCGTCCCTTTTTAAAAAGGAGGAAGATAAAGAAAGACGAGCAAACACAAAGAGGCAGGGAGGGGGGAAAAGGGGATTTGAAGACAGGAGGGAGGAGAAGTGGTGGCAGTGAGTGAGAGTGTTGGAAGGGGGGAAAATCTGAATACATGTTTGGATGGAGCAGAGGTTGTTTACTCAAGGAAAAATCTGTTTATGACGTGATTTGAAGGGAAGACTCACTTCAAATCGTCTGACATTTGAATGTTATTCATGTTTGCATGACAGTGCTTCACAGGAAGTCAAGTCTGCAGCTGAATGTGTTGAATTAACCTGTCAGAGTTAACCCATCCTATTAAATCTGCGTCGACATTATTGCATGTCTTTGTTCACGCATTTACCAGCTTTTGAGGCCGAAACAATTCTCTTTAAAATGTGCTTTACTGAAATCAGTGTCTGCAGCCTTTGGGACCCTTCCTGAGAGTGAACGTTTGTGAAATACGCTCCTGTTGCTAAATGAACTCTCAGTTACTCCCAATTTCCACCGCATCCGGAACGGCTACGAAAAGGCCATATTTGCGGATCATAACCATTGAAGTTAAAGTGTCAATTTCCACCGGCTTCTTTCCTTTCTGCTGCGGATCGCCGGACTCCACAGCTGATCGCAAGAGTTCTATTTTTTTCCAGACGTCGGAGCATGCCTGATAAATTCAGCACAGATTAACCCGTGCCGGAAAGGAAGTGGGGCACAGACACGAAATAAAACATCCGGCCTCTTTTCAAAATAAAACACTTCATGTTTCAGGTGGATTGTATTTCACACCATGCAAATGGGCGGGGACAAACAAGTAAAAGGTTTTTAGACAGCATTTCATCCCAATGACACCATGGATGAGAGGATGCTAGAACTAGATTTCCTCCACTGGAAGGACACAATCTACTGCTTTTACGGTTAGCCTCTGTGGCTAAAGACAACTTGTTATCACGCAATTGCACGTGAATCCGCGGGTTCTTGTGAGTTCTCGTGATTCCTGCTGTATGTTATCCGCCTCACAAACAGATCCGGTATGAAAAATTGGGGCCGTCCCAGATGCAGTGAAAATTGGGGGTTACAGAGCACCAAAATCTGAGTGCAATCTGCTGCTTTACCAACGTACTCACATCACGTCTGTGTGCTTCTTTAAACAGATTGTTTAATCAGTACATAAGGTGGAAAATAAATCCAAATGAATGTAGTTACAGTTCTCTGAAACCTGGTCTTTAAAGGTACATACTCTGTAAAATATCAGTTTGTGACTCATGTTTATGAGGACCCGAAGGGGTTTCATACTTAAGCCTTTCAAAAGTCTTTCAAAGCTTCCTAGTTTAAGGCAGGCATTAGCAGAGACATCTTTTATTTTCCCACTCGACTGCTGCGAGGGCAGAAATGTGTCGACATCATACCTTGTCATCATGATCCTGAAATAGTCCCAGAAATCTGAGCTACCTCACCGCGGCTGAGCGTTTTCTCGCGACTTTTAACAGAAAGGTTTCTTTTCACAGATTCTCTTTGACTCCGCCAGAACGTTGGTGCCTCTGCAACAGACTGCTGACAAAGGTGCTAAAGTATGAGCAGCATTTTCACATTTCCCACGGATCACACGATCACATGCTGCAAGTGAGATGATTCTGCATCTCTGCTCGACTTTTCATTTTTTGGGTTACAAGGAGAATGACGGATGAAAACTTACTTTTCTGAGTGTCTGCGTGCGTGTGCTTGCAGATTATTCGACATAAAGAGAGCTGGGAGAGACTGTCGGCCTCCTTAACAATGGTCTCTTTTTGAATAATTATGCAACAACGCTTAACTGATACAGCAGTAGCACCTGTACAAACCTAGTGGCTCTCAGCTCACAGACAACACCGCCTCTCTTCTCTTCTCTCCTCGCACCACCCATCCTATTCTGCCAGAAGAGCCGTACGCCACGCCGGATATCCTTTTCTATACCTGTTAAGATGTTAAACAGTCCCCAGTTTGCTGCTCCGCCGGCGCTTTGATCCTTTGACGGCCTGGTCATGCTAAAAAAATGCAAAGAGGCGCACTTGAAAAGAGAGGATAAGGAGTGTGTCTCAAATAATACACCCCGGCAGATGGATTTGATAGAGCCTGAGAGTGATGGATGCTTTTTTCCTCCCCTGTGCAGCCCTTTTGCTCTCTTTAGAGCTGCATTTGTGAAATGAATCTTGTGGGCAGAGGAGGAGAGGGTTGAAACGTAATTCAGATTCTGAGGGCTTATCACGCCGGTACCTGATTATGGCGGAGGCTGTTGTTTCCCCTGGCTATATTAGGATTGCAGGGTTTGACTTACAGCTGGAATCATAGAGCATTTTTGCCCTTTAGGCAGATTTAGAGGAAAACCTAAAACTAACACCTTATATCACACGGCTAGATTCACGTATCCTGTGCCTGCTGCATCTCAGGCGAGGATTTGTGTAAGGAAATACCTTCAGCCCCTCGTGTTTCTACCTCTCCACACACACAGGCACAGAAACAGGCTGATAATGATGACATAGCTTGTCAGAATCTGGCACCTTTAACCTTGGATATCAGGGATATTATTTTCCAGTGTTGCCTCTGCTGACAGATACAGTGGGTGGTTAAGTTGTCATCATGGGCTGAGAAGCGGCCAGGAGCAGGGATAAGGAGCAGTGACTGTATCTCTACATCTCTGGCGAGGAGTGTGTGCTCACCCTGGTGCGTAAAATATTTATTTAGTACTTATAAAACGCTTGGTTATATAGTTAAGGTACAGGCAGCTGGTTTGAGTTAATATCCTAATGGCTGCATTTCAAACTCAACTGTAAGATGATTAATTCAGGCAGGTATTCAGAGAATTAAAACAGCATAAGCAGAAAAAAAATAACATTTGGAGGACGTGTAGTAACATCCATTCATGGACTACAGAAGGCTTTTTATGAAGGGAGTACAGCTGATCCAGGTTATCTACCTTGCAGGACTATTGAGTTTTGTATCATCTGCGTAACAGTGATATATTAAATAGATGCAGCTGAAAAGATTACATGGAGGGAGCATGTAAAAGGAGAACAGGATAGGCCCAAGGATTGAACCTTGAGGAACTCCAGAGGACAGAGGAGTAAGGGAGAATACAAAGTTATAAAGGAAGACTGTATTTGATTTTTTCTTGCCAATATGTACGTTTGTTGATCCTGTAGCTCTGCCTGATTTGCAGCTCAAAATCTTATTTACCTTTTGCTAGCATCCCTGAAAACCTTCATTTTGGTGCTTTTCAACTTCTTCCTGAGATTTTCCTCTGATAAAAAGTTGCTTGTGGGTGTTACTTTTTACACAGCTCTGTAACCACAAAATGACCTGGAAGTAAGCCTTAACAGACAATAGCCTAATTTCGCTAAAACAACCACAGAAGAAGAGTCGTATTGACACCTGTGCTGTCAACAAACCAACAAACGCGGTAGTGGCTCACTCCATCCAATTCAGGATATTCCGCCCGGTTAAATTTTGTCACGAGATTGCACCGTTGCTCACTTATTTTACCGTCTGTCAAAGGTTGCTCTGTGCGTGCAGATGTGATATCATTACACTGTATGTACACCTTGTTATTAAGGCTGCAACAACGAATCGATTAAGTCGATTCGTCGTGACGAAAAAAATCGTTGCCAACTAATTCTGTAATCGATTCGTCGGGTCTTTATATATGTCCATGGACACCGGCATGTAAACATCAGCAGGACGCACAGAAAAGAAACAGCCATGGCCGAGACAGCGGCTGAGAAAAACATGGACACAACCCAACCCAAATCCCGACCTAAAACATCAGTGGTGTGGGAAAACTTCACCAAGACTGAAAAGGAAGGCGTTCAGTGCAACATTTGCAAAGACCGTTTTGCATGGCTCGGGAGTACATCGATGATGCGCGAGCACAGGGCTCTCAAGTCTCAAGCATTCAGCGTATGACACACGCATTCCCACTCGTTCACACGCTGACACACCACACATTGTATTTCTCACGCATTTTGAACACGGTGATGTCCACCAAGTTGCACTTCTTTGACTATGGAACAGGTGGAAATCAGCTGAGTTTCCCCGAGAGTTCAGAAGTTGCGTGCCACGCGCAAGCCAATCAAATAAAGTATATCTACTGAACAGCCAATCAAAAAGCAGCATTGTTGTATCCGGGTAGATTTTGATATCTTGCGGTTTGACTACAGAAGAAGACAGACACTCGCCGAAATAGAGCAGGTTTTTATTAGGACGAGAAAGACCGGATGATTACAGTAAGTCAGTAACCTACACATGCAGAGACCTCAACACCTCATGGCAGATAAACTCATATGATAAACTAAAGCCCTATGCTATTGCTATTTACAGCTGCATTGATGAATTTAGCCTGTTTATCCGATTAATCGATTAGTTATTAAAATAGTCGGCAGATTAATCGATTATCAAAATAATCGTTAGTTGCAGCCCTACTTGTTATGTTTTCTGAGGAGCAGACACAGCACCTGTGGTCATGTTTTATGCCAGTATTAATAATGAAACCTCTTGTACTGGCCTCAATAAATAAGCAGAAGGCTGAAGAGTAAAGATCGGGTCAGGTAAGAGAGTCACGATCAAAATAAGTGTTTACATGGATGCGATTCGGAATAACAATCAGCATAAACCACCCCTCTCGATCGGACTACAATTTCTTTCTGTCTGAGCCAAATTGGATCAGAATCAACCGATCGCTTTTTACTCCGATTATTTGTGCCCATGTAAACGTGGCTACTGTCAGAGGTAAGTTGTGATCGCCTGTGCTACCTCACCATTATAAATTACCTATTGTTCCTTTACCGGTTATTACAATGTTAATCACAGATTGTGGTTTTGAGTCTGCATGGGTGAAACAGCCTCAGGTTTTCAGGAACAGTTGAGATTCAACTCCAGCTTGAACCGGCCCAAAAAACATCAAAATTTTGCACTCCTTCATATTTGGGGGCAGAAAATAGCGATGACTTTCCCTCACAATCAAAGAGAAACTTTGTTGATTCTGAGACACGCTGATTCAACAAAGTGCAGAGCCCAGGACGGGCTGAGTGGCTGAATGGATTTTCCAGGCGAGGGGAAATTTGAAAGAGCTGCTGGGTGGTTTTAATAAGACAGCAGAGTCTGATGTAAAGTACAGGCCTGGGAAATATACACAACTTCAGTATGGACATATATCATCAGAAGGTTGTACAGTCTGAATGTATTAAAATACAAATACGCAGTACAAACATTCAAATATCTTTAACATAGGTGAGACTGAAAGCAGATAGACCAGAAGTAGTTTTTCAAGGGTTTTGGATAAAAAAAGAAAGTTATGAGATTAGTTAGAATTTTTCTTGCTAAATGTGGTTTAGAGAGGTTGGAAATGTTTCATGTTAAACAGCCTCGACAGACAGATTCAAGCAGACCACTGCTGGTTTACCCCCCTGCTCTGCTAATAGATTCAGTCATTTCCACGAGTAAAAACCCAAATCATCATATAAATGATATTAAACGGGGAGATGGCACGATTTAATACATGGAAAAAAAAGAGATCCCCAGCAACAAAAAGTCATTAAACTAATTTGATGCGACAGGGCAAAGTCGAAAAAATTCAGGCACTTGAGTTAATGTCTTTTTTGTTAGCGTCTCCTCTTCTGTTTGCAATTAAATTGGCAATTACGAGTGTTTACGCGATTGATTCCAGTATAATATCAATTCATTTCTCATCCTGAGTCCTCTCATCATCATAACAAAAATCTTCACACGCATGATGGACTGTTTAAGGGCGAGAGAGGACGAGCTCGGAGCAGGAAGTTCATCTGGCTTTCTTTGCTGTTTGTGAGCTACACTATTGGGAAGAACACACACGGACGAACACACACACACACGGCGGCTGCACCCCAAGACTCATAATCAGGATAAAACCCGATGGACTTTGTCTCAATTTCCTCATCTTTTTCTGCCATAGCCACTTCAATTATGAATGAAGATGTTTGATTACAACAGGAAGAAAGGAGCAGAGATTAGAGGGATCTGCTTTATTCTGTGTGTGTGTGTGTGTGTACTGTATGTGTGTGTGAGTGTATAATCAGTGCACCTTGATGGTGCAGGTTAAAAGGGTCCTGATTACACTGTATGAGGGAAGAGCTGGATTGAATAAAAGAGAATAGCACTTGTTAGCATTCCTTAATGAATATAGATGAAAAACTATAAAGCAGTACAGGCGTTTGGGGAGTTTTGAATTCACCGCAAATATTGTATCACATCCAGAATCCTGCAAACCGATAATAACCACTCACCGGTGCCAATTATTCTCCTGGTAAGACTTGGCCAACCTGAAATTTCTCCTTCCTGAATAGCGCTGCATTCGAGGAAAATCAAGAAGCCTAATGACACATCAAAGGATGTGTACGCTGTGCGCTCCTGTGACCCAGATTCAAGAGATGTAGGCTCAATTATTATGCTGTCAAAGGTGTATGTGTGTGTGTATGTTGGTGCACATGCGTGTGTTTTGAGTGGGTGTGCAGATATGAGCCCTCTTTTGTGCGTCCCTCTGAAGTCGCCGCTTTAATTAAAGCAGGAAGAGATGTAAAATGCATGGCCCCCAGGTTCGCTGCTCCTTTTTCCTGCATTATTAAAGCATCTCAAGCCAATGACAAACAGTAAACAATAACAATCCATCCCCTGGCTTGTTATTTTTTCATTTCTGAACAACAGCTGACATGCTCTTACAGTCACTACTTTGTGCAATTACTTGGCATTCAGAATAAAAGCATTTTCAACCCTGAAAGGATCGGTCACAGCAGCATTTTCAACACCTACATTTCTGCATCAGATTTATTTAATTTGAATAAAACAAAAGAGTTCACACAGGGACAGGATGATTTATTATAAGGACGTGATAAAGGAGTCCAAGATTTTGCCAGGTGACGCAACTTAAAGCCACTCAGTCACTTTGGTGAACTTTGATTCAAGTTTTAGGATTAAATCCACCAGCAGAACTGATTTAATCTAGCTCAATCTGCAGCCACACCTCTTATTGTGACTGGGATCATGGCGTTTATGAGTCAGCAAAGATTATCGGTCAGGGGAATGACTTACCAGTGAGTTCACCACGACCACACACTTCTGCACCCTCTCCAAGTTCAACTTTGGAGATCTAAGTTTAAACACACAAGTTTACTGCTGGTCACATTATTTCTGGAGCTTATGAAGATGTTGCCCAACAGACTGGGGGAGTCTGTGGAATATAATTTATCATATTCTCCGGAGGAGTCGGTGAAAATAATCAAATGTGTCATATTATTATCAGGTACCAACAGCAGTGAATTCTCGCTCTTACACTTCAGCTGATTTGCAGCCACTGCTTGGATAAAACAACATGTAAAAACTGGGAAAGAGCAATATTTTAGGCTGTAAAGCTATTGAATTTAATGTAATATTTTATCTGATCCACAGCACTTGAGACCAGAAGCATGCTCAGGCTCTTTGAAGGGTAAAGGCATTAAAATAATAAAGGATATCAGCTGTATGCCCTGAGAGAGGATAAATGTTAAAGACAACAATGCTCTTTGGTTACAAAATGCTGACTGGGCATAGAGGTAGAACTTTGTTTACATCTATCTACTGAGCCAGCATCCAGAAGGCCATTTGTTTATGAAAAAAAAAAAAATCTATAGGAGGGGCATCCAGAGGGAATTTTGTTGACATTTTATCCACTAAAGGACATTCAGAGGACACTGATTTCATTTTATCCACTTGAACAGGATCCAAAGCGCACTTGGTTTACATAATGTTCACTGGAAAAGCATCCAGAGGGTACTTTGTGTACATTTGCTCTAATAAATGGGCATCCAGAGGGCACTTTGGATTTGCTTCAAAGGACGGGCATCCAGAGGGCACTATGTTTACATTATGTTCAATGGACCAGCGTCGAGGGGGCACTAAGTTTACATTTGCTCCAACATAGGGGCATCCAGAAGGCACTTTGTTTATATTTGTTCCAACTGAGGGGCATCCAGAAGATGCTCTTTTTACATTCTATTCACTGGGACAGCACCCACAGGGCACCTTCATTCATTTTATCAAATGGAAGGGCATCCAGAGAGCACTTTGCTTCCATGGGAAGGGCAGCCTGGTGGGATTATGCTACTAAGGGCATCCAGGGGGATTTGGTTTACGTGATATCCATTAGAACAGCATCCAGAGGGCAATTGGTTTTCATTAACCTTATAGTCACTGGATCCAGAGGGCGCTTGGTTTACATTTACATTAAATTCACTTGAGGACAGAGGGGCAATGGGTTGCCCCTTTTGCTCTCTGTTTACACCATTGATTTGTCATAGGTATCAGCTGTAACAATGCGTAGAAGTGGCTGATTGTCACATGCTCACAACAGGAAGAAGGATGTGAACAAATATCGAGGGAGGGGCAGATGAAAGCACCATGGTGTTTCAACTCCCCCCTTGATATGGAGCAGTTTCATAAAGAGAAGTGACAAGAAGAGACTGTGCTCTCATTAGGGCGACTGACAAAAAAATAGGTGAAAGCTGCAGATAAAGAAGATGTGAGGAAATCTGAGAGAAGGTAGACGTGTTCAAAGAGGAGGGGGAGGGCGGTGGAGGGTAATTTTACAGAGAACCAGGTTATGATATGATGTACTTTTATCCCTGTTGTTTTTATTTGCCACCTCTTGCAGGAGGTTTATTATTACGTCCTCTGCGATGCTGCTCTAGCACATATATAGGCTGCCACTCAACACTGCAGCCAATAATACTCATAGTGCACGGCTATGAATTCATTCCCTTGCACAAGTAGCTATTCATATTAAAACAAGCAAGGATATGAGAGGCAGAGCACATATTAAAACCTGAGGATGTCTCACACACCCGCCAGCCCGCCCACCTATGCAATCACCCATCCATCCAACCATTCATCCATCCTGTGGTTCTGCTCTTCACTTTTATTAAACAGGGAGCCGGGCCAAGCTCCAGCCAAATTTGGACAGAGACTGAGAACATCCCAGTGTGCACGGCGAAAAAAAAAAAGGAGAGAAGAAGAAAGACAGCCACGGACAGTCCAGATGGAGACTCAATAGCCTTCTCACTTCACGTTGAGTGTGATCCGTGTGTGTCTGTCGTCTGCGATCCATCACCCAATCTGCCAGCGGAGGCCGAGCTCGGCTTTATCTCGCACTAAAAACTGGATCAGGGCTCCTCTAATTGGCTTGAACGTGGCCACCATCCTTCCATATAGTTCTGTCAGCGAGGGAGCTAGTCATGCGTGATCCATCGCGCTCAAACCTGTGTGAATCTTCTCACATTATGTCTGCGCGATTGGTCCCACCGGAGGCAATCTTTAAGATGCCTGTGGGGAGAATTAAAACCCAAGATATCCTGAAGTCCTCGAGACTTTTGCTGCACGTTTCCTCCTGCCATCCCTGCGTGCTATCTAGCTTCAGCAGGCCTCTTCACGCGTCCTCTGTAGCACGGTCGCCTCCTCCTCGCCTCCTTCGCCTCCTCCCATCTTCAATCAGTCATTTTTCTTCCCCCACACATCTTTCTTCCCCTCCTTGATGTGTGCAATCCCTTAATCCTCTTCATCTCACGCGCATTGGGGTCCTACCTTTCGTCCTCTGGTGCATCCTCAATCCTACTTTCCTTCCCTTGCTTCTGCTTGTTTTTCTGCCTCCGTCCTGCTTCCCTGCAATCACATTTATCTGCCACAGCCTGTCATCATCCACTCATTATTGGCCGGTTCCTTTCCTTACTCCGGCTAGTGACCTTTCTTCCTTCCTCATCATGGCAGCTCTCCTCTCCTTTTATCTGTCTGTCAAATACAATCTTTCCTCTCCTTATTTTTTCATCATGTCTGTCCTGATCCCTCCTTCTGTTCCTGCTCATACACCGCGACATGACACAGCTTGATGTTAACAGTTTTTCAACTCCAATCACCTCTTTTAATAATGTCTTATTGGGTGTCAAAACCGCTACTGTTCCCGGATCTCTGGCCCAATATTTGCTCAATTATTCAGATATTGCCATTTAATGAAATTTAAAACACAATAAAGAAATCAAATTACGGAGGAGAGCAGATAATGTTAATATCCACTGACAATTTAACTGATTATATACTATAAAGCCTCTCTTCTCTGTGTTTGTGGAGCCATCACTGACTTTAAGAACAGTCTATTAAATGCCACTTAATTATATGATAAGGCAAGTAATGTGCGCGCAGGCAAACACACACTTACACACACAGGGTGATGGAGATAAGTGCGATGCATTGACACAAACTGACATGCACACGCCGTGGTACGCACACATGCACTAATCATCATACATGCTCTCCGAGAGCTTAGTGAAGTCCCTCTGGAATCACTTTCTAAAGAGCGGCCCTCTGTGTCATATTAGAAGGAATTACAATTAATAATGTTATTATAGCAGCAGCACTCTGAGAATGGCAATGACCAGCAATAAATGAAACTGTAATAACTACTAATATGGATTTAATAATGTAGCTACATAACTTGATTGCCAGTATAAATTAAATGTGTACCATGCCAGTAAACATAAATATTTGAATAGAGCTCCAGCTGGATCGCGCAATATGCTGCAGAGGTATACTTCCTGTTAGTGTTTTACAGAAAGAAAGGAAGTTTGCTGAACTTTAAAGACAATTTCTTAAAGCTTCTTTTAGATCATATATCTCTATATCTTATATACTCAGTGAGTGATGTTAGATAAACTTTGAGTCGTTGTTTTTCTTTTTTTTTTTTTTTTTTTCGTTTTCATAGAAAACAGCTGAGACAATCAGACAGTGATTTTATTGCTTCTGCATGTGCACTGTTCTCTTTATGCAGTCAATATTGCACCTGAACAGCAGGAACTATAAAACAACAAAATATTGCATTAAATATGACATAATATCACATGCAAACCACAACCGATGCTCTCCAGCTTGACCACGGGGTGCAATGCAGATTATTATTATTATTATTATTATTATTTATTTTTTTTTTTAATTTTATTTTATATAACATACAAACAAAACAAAACAAAACAAAAACACAAAAATAGTGATGGTGGGTACATATACAGACAAGACAGAAACAAAAACAGTTAACAGTATCTTAAAGTAGTGTGTGTATGCATGTGAATGTGTGCACGTGTGTGTATGAAGCTTTTGTTTCAATTTCCCTCCCCCCCCCCCCCCCCATCCCCCCCCCATTGCTCCAAACCCCCTTCTAAATCAAGGAGACCCCTGACCGACCAGCATAAAAGCTGTAAGCTCAAGTGGAGAGCAGGTCCGGCAGGATGTCCGATGTCATGCATGGGGGCAGATGCAAATGTGTTGATGTGTTTGTGCTGATTATGTGGATGTGAGTAAGATGGGGCCAGATTTTATGGATGCTGTGGTTTGGGGGGTCCGGCGATCGTTGAAAGTCAGTTTATTAATAAATGTAGACCAGGTTTTATTAAAGCAAGGTGTGTTATGATTAAGTGATGCTGACATTTTTTCTATTGAGATTTGATCTACGAGTAAGTTCTTCCAGTGGGTGATGTTTAATTGATCTCTTGCTTTCCAGTTTAGAAGGATGGTTTTCTTGGCGACAGCTAGAGCTGTGTACAATGTAGTTTTAGTGTGTTTATTAAGTTGTAAAACTGACATGTCACCTAGAAGGCAAAGTTTGGGGGACAGAGGGATGTGGCAACCTAGTATGTGTGATAGATGTGTCGTTGTTTTTCACCATATCAAAAATAGTCACTGCCTCATATTCTGAAATCTGTATGCATGTATGTAGTGGTTAAGCAAAGTCAGTTTTGTCCAGAGGAGGCGCCAAAGTTGACAAAAAAGTTCCTTGCAGAAGCTTTGAGTAAAACAACGCGATATACATTGGCCACCATTATGATTATCAATAATACGACCATTAAAAAAACTGTTATTAGTCATCCCTAATAAAATCTTAATTTATTGCAATAAACTAGGCAAGGCAAACTATATTGCACATTATTGCAAGAAGTCATTTAAATGTGCTCAACGCAGATATTACATTACAAACTAGGATGCCTTTTTACAGAGTTTGTAGATCAGGGTTTATGTTGGTTTCACATTGAAGAAAAATGTACCATTAGCCAAAATGTCCTGCAAGAAAGTGTTAAATGTTAAAATTTATAAACCTAAACTTTTTTTTTTTTTTCTTTTATGAAATTCTGGGAAAACTGATTGTCTCATATTTAGAAGTCAACACTTTTCTATGCCAGGATAAAGTGAGTTAGGCTTTCTGATTTTTTGCCGCCACTCAAAACGCCACACAACATATAGTGATCAGCAGCAGCAGCACAGAGAAGACAGTAGATTGGTTTCAAGGCTGTCAAGTCCACCATAGCAGAAGCTGTGAAACACTACATCGCCAACTGGCAAACCAACTTTGTGTCAGACTCGTCGGTAACTTGGGATTTAATTTCCCATATAAACCACACTGAAATTGGTTGAAGCAGAAACTTCCATTCACCTTGTATTGGAAGAAACTCAACTGGGATGTTCGCATAACTCGGATTTTGCATTGCTGAAGCTTTGCGGGATTGGGATTGACCCCAGGCAGTATCTACTGCAGTGCTACTGCAACACTTCAACTCATCCATCTTTTCCTTAAAATTATACTTTTAACATTTTGTTGGTTTTGTGATAGGAGCTAACAGTCTTTTCATGCTTCTCCTCCTCCAGCATTAGCAAGAAATGTTCCCACCAGCAAATTCAAAGATGAGCTCTGCTGCAAAATTGGTCTTTTTCTCAGATTCCTCTCAAGGTGCATTCTTTATAAAGATATGGCAGACTTGGAGCTCGCTCAGCAATCTAAGCAGACAATGGTGTAATCAACGGTGAACCAGTGGGGCACTGAATCCTTTCCTGTGAGTACAGGGAGGGAGCGAGGTGGTGAGGAGGGGAGGAGGCGGAGGGAATGAAGGATGTTACCTGGGTGTTTGTCTGACAGTTCTTCCTCTCCGTGTCTTCACCCCTGCTGGCAGCACTCATCAACAATATTAATCAAAGCCTGATGTCTGCTCAATTAGACCGAGGCTCTGCTCGACAACAACCAAACAACCAAGAGCCTCAGGTGCACAAATATGAATGCATACTTAAAACTGCATGCATAAAACAAGCCTGCATATCGAGTAGTCACAGCATATAAGTGTTTCCCCCTTTTAAGCCTGATCCACAGAAACATTTTGTCTTTTGTTTCCGTACAGAACAGTTCCTCTTCTTAGCAGCATGAAATGGCAGTGACATATAACCTTTCTAAATTTAAGGACTTCAAATAAACAAACCTCAAGTCCTTCTGTAATAACGTAAAACCTCAGCTATGTGCTCTGAATTCAACCAAAAGACAAAACACTGCTAAGTCATGCTGTCTGTGGGCAAAATGTTGGACAATATCTTAGATCTTTGGATTGAACATATATGTGTATATCACCCCAAAGTAAAAAGTCTGACCCCCAATTCCCACCGCATCCGGCCGTATCAATCTAATCGCAAGAGTTCTATTTTTTCTGGACGCCGGAGCATGCCGGATAAATTCAGCACAGATTAACTTGTGCTGGAAAGGAAGTCGGGCACAGACACAAAACAAAACATCCGGCTTCTTTTCAAAATAAAACACTCCACGTTTCAGGCCGATCGTATTTCACAGCATGCAAACAGGCAGAGACAAACAAGTGAAAGGTTTTTCGACAGCATTTCACCCCAATGACACCATGGATGAGGAGATGCTGATTTTAGAAGTCTAGAGGCTTCTCGGCAAGAGACACCATCTACTGCTTTTATGGTTAGCTTCTGTGGCTAAGGGACAACTTGTTATTGCGCGTGAATCCCTCTGGGTTCCGATGTCTGTAATACGCCACAAAATTCGCCTCATCAATGGATCTGGTAGGAACTGGCAGACGTAGAAAACTGCTGCAGTTCCGGATGCGGTGAAAATTGGGGGTGAGGCAGGGAGCACACTCCTCCTCCTCCCTTCACATGTATACAAGGAAAGCCAATGCAGGGAGAGCAGCAGCAAAGAACAAATGGGCAACAAATCGTAGCAGTGAGAGCACATATCCTCTCTGTTTTACCTGCATACATGAAAAACCAAAGGCAGGGAGAACAGAAGCAAAAAAAAACCTGAGTAGAGAGTAAAGCAGTAACAGCAAATCTTCATGTGCAGAAATGAAAAGCCAATGCAGGAGGAGCAGCAGTAAAGACCCCTCAGATAGAGGGCAGCATCAATCACAATACATTTTATGACACTGGTTAAATCAGGAACAAGTATGAAAATAGAGGGGCTAAGATGGAGGTGGGTTTTGAAGCAGTTTGTAGATGAAGCGTCACGAGTCAGGCTATACCAGCTTGACATTTGCCATGAGTGGGAAGACGGGATCCCATCTGCCGACTTCATGACCTGCCGAAACTAGCTCTGTTCTCATTTTGAAAGCTGGTTTAAAAAAAGGATAATTATGAAGATATGATGAATTTATGTCCCAGTATAATTTGAATAACTGGTCTGTTTTTTTTTTAATTAAAAAACCAAGAGATAAATAATGTTCAACAAACACCTGGGACCAAGCACCACTCTTGGGTATTCTAAAAAAAACAAGAGGAAGCAGACAAAAATATGTTCCCCGAACTATTTTAATGGCACCGACCGGTGTAATGACTCTGTGTTCTGGTGGGTCAAGCTGTAATAGACGGTGATGGAAGAGGGATGTTGTGTATACTGAGGTTATTTATCCTCCCTTCATCCCTGTCACCCTCCGGTACATCCCTCTGTTCTGGCATGTTATTAAAAACAAACAGCTCTGTACTCTTCAGAGTACTGGTGTCTTCGCTGCTGTTCCCCCTCCAGCTGTCAGCCTCGCTGTTACGCACACACACATGATGACACAGACTGGGACACGAAATCTAATCTGGGAATTTCAAGACAATATGAAGCCACTTAACGCGACTGACACATATGAGTTCACGGACCTCAAAGTCAGCTTAGAGTTAAAATGATAGTGAACTAACTGAGCTTAGTTATACTTCTAACTTTGGCAGCATTGAGTTTGTGTGACTTGTGAAAGAAAATTACATAGAAACTATCATCTCATTTACCAAAATTGAAGCAAAATATACTCACAACACTCTCAAATCGCTTGAATCAGACACCGCTAGAAAACACGGTAAGATGGTTTGCAGACTATGGCTAATGTTGGCAAACCTAAAACCCCTAAAGCCACGCCATGTCAACAATACTTAATTATATTTGAGTAGTATAGCTAATGACAGTTGACCAGGGCTACCGCTCCTGCTATTTGCGGGTGACAGCCCTACAGCTTGGACACAAAACATGATTAGCATGTAGGGTTCAGCATCAAGTCTCGAGCATTGATGGGAACCGGGACTTATATTCCAATTCTCACGGAACCATTTCGATTTGAAGTTTCGATGCCAAGTCCTCCGACCGGGAGAAATAGCCACTATGTTCATGAAAATAGCCGCCGAAGCCACAGATAGTGTTTACATGCATTGGCAGTGGTCAAAAGTTTTAACTTAAGCATTAAGAATGAACTGTCATCTCAGTGCAACATTTGCATAACAGTTTTATGGTGCTAAGGAGGGTGTACGACCAACATGATTAAAAACATCTCTGGATTCATGGAATAGAAATACCTGATTGCTCCGTCTTTGACGCACTGTGCCGGTCATCCTCTAACCAATCAAAATCAGATACGTGAAACAATAAATTACGTCTGTCTTCTGCTAATATTGAGGCTTCAAAACAAATCGTTCTGAAAAACTCAAAGTAAAGTTCATTAATCGTTCAGATAATGTAAAAATTCATGGAGAAGTTCAAAAAGAACTCTGGTTAGCGCCCTCATTAAGACCATGCTTTTTTTTTTATCCTGCCCTGCAGAAGAATCAAAACAAGTAATCGAAACTGGAATCAAAACAAGTAATCACAGGTCCTAGGATTGAGGCTTGGAGTATTGAGATTGGGTCCATTGCAGCCAATTAAAATCTTTGTGACTGAAGAGTAACTTTTCGTGACAACCTGTAATTGAGCTTTGGTTTATGCTGAAACTGTGCACTCTTTTTTGTCCACTGTAGCTTGAGAAATTGAACACAGCAGCACATGCAGATTCATATGAGTCCTGTGTGGATTTGGGGGGATTCCTATTAAAAATGAACATCAGGGTGCAGGATTTGGCGATGGCAGTCACCTGCTAACCCTTATCAGTGGTGTGCAAAATTTAGCGAGTCATACAACACGCAGATTCCAGTTGTTCACATATTAAAGTATGACCACTCGATGTGGTTTTCAGTCACCCCCCAAAATCTTTTAAGTGTGACTGATTGGCTAATGGAAGGAGTGTCTCCGACTCCCCGGCCCCCCATTTTTGAGCCTTTGCTGCCTGTTCTTTATGCATTAGACCAGAGCACTCAGGACAGCTCATGCTAATTCTCTCCCTGAAGAAAGCAATTAGACCACCGCACTCATCTAATGCTCGGAGGAGGAAGTGGGAGGGGGAGCATCAGAGGGTGGATGAGGGGGAGAGAGTTGGAGAGAGAGAGAGGAAAAAGGTGAGCGATTGAGGTAATGGCAGGGTGGGAGAGACTGAATGAGGGGTGTTTAAGAGAGAAAGTGGCGAGGGATGCTTTCTCTGACCATCACATTTCCAAGAACATTTCATTCCTCATCCAATTATGAGCAGTAATAATAATTTCGCCAAGGTTTGCTCCTTAAAAACTGTTGGTCCTGTATAATGAGAGTGAAATTATTTGACTGGAAGCACAGGGAATTGACTGTAAAAGAGAAAAGCAGTGGAACAGAGTGTGAATGTGTGTTTGAGCGCAGGTTTCGCCGCAATATAGAACCATTACTTCCTAAATTAAGTTTTTGGGGCTGCTGTAATCTTTTTGGGCCAATGTAAGGATCATTTGACACATTTTTTAAGTGTAATTAGGGTCTAATATCATTTGAAAACTGGAATATTATACATCTATGAGACATGCGAACATATTATACCCTTAATACCCTCAGCTGCTTGCAAACTAGCTGTAGCGGCCCTCTCAGAAATAACCCAGCACTTTTAAAAACTAAAATTCCAAGATTTAGGGAAAATCTTCAACCAATGTGAGAGCTTGTACCTCTATGGGTTACAGATCAATTTAATATTTATACTTTCTAACAATTCTTTTAAGTGTTTTCATTCAGTTCTGCAATTCACAGTCTACCTGATGTTGTGCACTGCTTCAACCAAAAATTAAAGTAGTTTTTCCATAAAGCATGCGAGACAGAAAAAATACCAAAATAAAAGCATGTAAAACGGTCATTGTCTTCTCAAAGAGGTTTGAGTCACAGAAAACTGTTAGTTGGATATTGGACGATAGATGATAGCTAAGGGTGTCCGGACCAAGGTCCAGACCAGGTTGGTGTTTATTTCAATACATTTGCTTCAGTCTGTTTCACAGCCATTATTGCAAACAGACTAACAGACTTTACATGACAAACCTACACGATATCGTCATCAACAACATGCTTTACGTGTCTCTGTAGTTTACGCTGATTGGTCATTTTGCCGGTGGGCTTCTTATATCAACATGTTGCATAATGCGGGTCTTTCATGTTGTAAACATGTAAACACCATCATATTATTGTTGATTTTCTACTACCCACAGTGACAACTTAAAGTGCTGTACATGAGGCTGGTCTGAGTTCATCTTATGGCTATCATAAGACGACACCTTTATCATCAACAGGAAAGAAGAAGAAAATATGCAATCCTGTGAGCCACTGCAACACTGACTCAGGAGAGAAAGTCTATGTTGTAAAAGATAAGCTGTCAATAGTGAGGTATTTATCTACAATATTATAAAGATTCCTGTTCTAGGACAATCTCCAGTCAACATACTAACAGACTCTTTCACTTCTTGCATCTTTTCCTGTCTTTGGTAAAAAGGTCTGAACCTTTCAAAATAATGCTTTTATTCTGGGCATGAACAAGACCATGGTTCAGTTTGGTTCGGAATGAGACCACCTCCTTTGGTTGGACCAAGGTCCAGGGGGGTTGTCATATCTGTCTACAAAAAGTTTGAAAGTCCAGACCAAACAACATTGGTGCCCCCGAAGTTAACTGAATTGGTCAAATTATTAATTTTTCCATTTGAGAGGAGCTGAAACTGCAATGACATTTGATCTTTAAAATTGGGATGTTTTTCAACCAAAGACTGGCTGGTTGGCTTGGTTAGAAAGGTCAAAAGTCACAAACAGACAAAGAATATATTGAAACATGGAGCTAGCACGCAATAACCAAAACATTAAACGGGCTGAATGATTGCAATGGAGGAGCTTTCTAATCAAAGTCGTTCCTTGTTTTCCATTCATTCTCAACATAAGACACGCCAAGGGAACATTTTTCTGATGGACGTCATTATGACACTGTGTGGAAGAGGTTAGGTGAGTCATACTCACTTCATCACCCTTCAGTATATTAGTTTGATTATACACCCATCACAGAATATATTGCATCATATAATTACATTTAGACTGTAAGCTCAGAGGGGACCCACCTTTGCTAAAATTAATGCTGAGTGACCTGTAAAAGCCTAGATATATAATTTAAATAGAGGTATTAAAAGTAGAGAGTAGTACTGTGTGGCTGTCTATGGTTTCCTGAAAAGCTCAGGTCAAGACACAAGGCAATAAGCATGATGTTTGTTTGGAGGGAAGGGGGTATTTGGAGTTTACCCTGAACCCTGATCACTCCAGGACCTGTCATTTGATTGTTTTCTGTTTACAGATGGATTGGAAATGATGGAGTAAGATTGGAGATGTGATTATTTTTTTTCCAGCTTTGCGCCGTCCTCTTCGGTGTCTCCAGCATATACAGGGGTTGCGTTGGGTTGCAGCTGTCATCTCATATTATCACCAGACTGATGTGGCAGTGAGACGGTGGGCGAACTGTACAGAGCCTCCTAAATGAAGAGAGGATAAAGAAAAGGAACTAGGGTGATATTGAGGGTATAGAAAGTGCTCCATTGATTCATCAGCTGGTGCTGCTAAAAATTTAACAGCTTCTTCTATGATGAAATCTGACAACAGCAACAGACCAAATTGACAGAATCAACTCAAAAACAAAGCCTCTTAATCTTGCGTTTGGGACAAGATAATCTCTCTACAATCTCAAGTTTAGTAGCTTCACATCTAGCTCAAAATGACACCATGTGGGTTCCTCTCAAGTGTCAGTTTTGCACATGCAACGGTTTGCAATCAGTTGAGCAATAACAGATCAGCAACCTTACAGACTTTCAAAATGAAGTTTGGTTCATACACGATAAGTCATCTACATGCAGCAATAATAAGAATGTTGTATAAAGTCTGAAATAGCTGCAGTGTGGTGAAGTCCAGGCACCAAAAGGACTTGCAGTTTAATAGGCTGAGGTACCAAAATATTTGCAGAGGCATAAAAGACCTGATGAAAACATCTGAGACACTTAAGCTAGGGGCAATTAAAAGTTAAAGAGTAAAAGTGTGTTTATAGAAAACTTTCGAAAACCTCAACAGATGGGGAACTCAGATGGTGGAAAGAAGAGGATTCCACAGTTTAAAGGCACTAAGAGAAGAAAAGGCCCGAGCAGTACATAACATCATTAAGAGACTCAGGAATCTGGAGAAATCTCTGCTCAAAAAGGACAAGAATGAAAACCAACACCGGATGGACGTGATCTTAAAGCCCTCAAGCGGGACAGCTGTAGGGTTGGGCATTGAGTTTCGTGCATTGATGGGGACCGGGACTAACATTCGATTCTCCCGGAATCAGGACCGGAATTGTTCAAAATAACCCAACCCTAGATTGCTGTAAGATCTGACACAACTCTGTAGTGGAGATCAATGCACAGGGTCAAAATCCTGGAAGAGAGCAGATACAAACATGACCCAGAATGGCTGGAAACAAGTCCAAAGAGAGACTGACTAAGGTGCAGTAGAAAACTGTCAAGTACGGACAAATCACAGTTTGAAATTATTTTTGGAAACCATGGAACGCACTTTTAATACTTGACAATACACGTTTTGAACAGCATATACTGCCATCCAGACATAACTTCAGATATTGCATGTATAACAACAGCATGGCTCAGTAGTAGAAGAGTCCTGGTGCTGAACTGGCCTGCAGTCTCAATCTAACACCTACTGAGGACATGTGTCAGACCATGAGATGATTTTTTCTTGTGTAACAATGAAATTTTAGTGTCCACATTAAAAAGTTGTTTGACAAATGTCATCCAGTACCAGAATCTGCTCTTGCTGAATGAGTGATTTTGTGCCTGTTATTTCTATCAAACAATAAACAAGCAGTATTGACTTGTAAAGCAGGCTGTTTCTGTTAACTCAAAGCAACATCATCATGATTTTCCTGCAATAACGATCCTCAGAAATGACCGTAAGATAATCTATAAGATACATAGAAATCTCACCCTCTGTCATACCACATTAGCTGTGATCAACAGTCACACCAAACTGACACTTCTGACATTTTACCAGGTTCGTGAAGCATCCTGCACATCGTCCTCGCAGTCAGTTGAAACTCAGTAATTCAAGCTGATGGAGCTGTTTCCCTTTACATCTCAACCCTGCCTCCTGTTTTCACATTTTGTTCCTTTTTTTTCTGAACAGCTGTTGTTAATGATGTTGCTGAATGTATCTCTACGTCTCACAGCCACCACATGCTGAGGGTGAATGATGCAGAGTTCACTTGGTGGGATGAGCAGTGGGAGGTCCGTGAAATACGAGTTAGGGGGAAGCTGCTGATAAATAGAATGTAAAATTTGATACGCTTTGATATGACAACATAAATGAAAGCAAGTGTGGTAAACAACTACAGAGGGTGGACCAAATAAAAGAAACAGCAACAGACACAATGTCTATGAAGCTGTGACAAATAACAGCCGGCATTTCTCTTAATGATTAAGCATTAAAAAAGTTTTTAGAAAATGGTTGTGTCTGCTGGAGGAGGGATTGAACAACTTTTCATAAAGTTCTCAGAAACATGTCAGGGTAAAACAATATGTTTGGAGTTGAAATCATGTGTCACTGGAAATCAACACGCTGAAACGCTTGGCCAGTAGATGCAGCTGTAGGCCGGACACAGGTGCCACTATGGACGCAGACATACAGGTTGAGAAGTTTTTACAGACATGCAGAAAAAAAATTTGTCTAGACTTAACCCTTTAATGCTTTTTGTATCATATTTGATACATACTTTTATATATCAAATAAATACGATCCACAAATTACAAGAAAAAAAAAACAACTGAATACAGTCCGATAAATGATAAAAATGTCCTCTTATAGTTCATCAGTTTCCAAAAACATCTAATATATCAAACTAGATTAAAAAAAATATGTATTTGTTAAATTTTAAGGACATTTTGATTTTTTTGGATTTTCAGTATGAAGTGAAATAAACGTTTCGACTCCCCCCCAAAAAATGGATTTTTCTGCCATAATTTGTGGTTTCGGGCATCGAAGGGCTACAAGTTGCAGACATTTCAGTGTCGTGATTGTCCGCTTGATTGTGCCTGACATAGTCCTCTGAGGCCTGATGTGCCAGTAAATTGGATTACTATGAGTTTGAATGCCTCATAACAGTTTGGATATAAACTTCTTCCACCAGAGTTCAGATAAGGGTTCAAATTTTGGAAAAAATGTGACAGCCTTAGCTAAGGATTTTGCGATCCGATATTATCGGACCTCTGCCTGATATCAGCAACAAAACGAATATTGGATTATGTCTGAAATCATCACTCCAATAAAAGCAGTCCATTCCAGACTCCACTCCAGAACCTCCATCTAGCACCGCCCAGATCCAGCATGCAGGGCCCACGTAATCACAACAACAGTGTGTATGAAGGTACTAACTAAGCAGCAAGAAGTAGGAGTGATGTTGGCCGTGTGGCAGTATTTTTGTTCAAGTCCAAAAAAAGACGTTGCAGCTGATGCAAAACGTGTCATGCACAATTTTGTGCCAATATCAGAGCAATATCAGTATCGGCCAATACTGAAGGCGACATTATCGGTATCGTATCAGAAGTAAAAAAAAGTTGTATCAGGACACTCCTTGCCTGAACAGAGTATGAGATCTCCATCCTTGGTCAAATGGGTCCAACAAAATCATAGACAAGAGAAAAATAAAGTAGCCGTATAACTCTTCAGTCACGCAGAAACAAACCAGTTTGACTTGAACCAAACACCCGTTTTCAGAGAGGAGGCAGTCATTACCGCCACTCTCTGATGAATCTCGTGGCCTGGCTGTAGCTCTGCATATTCTCCCAGCTGATTCAATTACAGCGGTGAGGCACGGAGCTACAGGTGCTGTATGGAAATGTAAATCCACGAGCGGTTATTTTATTTGCTTGAGATGATGATGACAGTATATAAGGGATCTGCACATGCTGAGACCACATCTGTGACAGCGGGGGGGTAGGAGGTTATGTAATTAGACAGGATGTGAATTCTGTCTCAGTGGTTCGGTAATAAACAGGCAGAGAGACAAGCAGAGGGTCAGCTACCTGTGAGGGGGGTCAAACACTGCTGTACATTCACACCGCAGCCCTCTCCATCTCGCGCTCCATCTCGCTAAAACATGCAGAGCTGCTGTTCGGCTCTATAAATAAACGCTGCGCTGTCAAACTGTCAGGTGGATTAACGTGTGCTGAGTGTATGAGATGGCCTAAGGGCGGCCCCGGGGACCGTCAGACAAACTAACCATTCAGTTTTACCTACAGTCAGAGATGAGCGTGATTAAATTACAAAATCAATTTAGATAAAGACTGACGTAAATGTGGTTAAAAACTCCTAAAGTACTTGTTTATCGTGAGAATGAGGATTTTTTTTCCCCTCGTTATCTTGACAAGTTCAGTCCCTCAATGAGAGGGAAAATCTGCAAAAAGCATCTTGAGTGAGAAATAAGCCAGAATCAAATCAAAAGAATACCAGAAGCATCACTTTTGGCAATCTCAACACCAAGATCTTTGCCAAAAAGACAATGATGTCAGCTGAATCGTGTCGTTCCTGTTTTCTTTTCATTTCTCGTCTCAGTGTTGTTTGATTTCTGGCACATTTTGATTCAAGTCTTTACTCCCAAAATAGATTTCACCCTGATAATGTGAAGTTTCAGCTGTGAACAGATAAAAGATTGGTAATTCTTTTTTAATTTCCCTAAAAAAAACCTGTCTGGGGCGGTATGACATTCCCTGAAACGTATCAAACTTCACACACAAATCATGTCTGGTGTAAACTTGATATTTTATGTTTTACGAAATTCGTGTCTTCACAGCACCCCTGTCACCACTGAGTTCAACCAAAATACTCTTGGATTCATCTTTGTATCTCAACAGAGAGTCCAGAAATTTTTGTTAAATTTACAAGGTGTGTGTTTGATCGAACTTGCCCTCAGATCATCTCCAACTGTGGTCGGTGTATTGCAGCCACAGCCATTACTAAAAGTTATCAGATGAAACAAGAACTTAGTTTCATACAGCGTCCAATCTGTTTAAAATGACATGAGCATGACCAAGGTCCGAACCTTAACACATCAATACAGAACAGGGCCACCTTGTGGGAACACATGGTACTAACTTTAACATACGAGGTCCAATTGGATCCAAATTTTACAGGTTTGATGATAGTCTCAGCCTGAACTCATCTACAAACGGATATTTATTCTGTCATAGTAAGAATGCCATCTATTGGACAAAAGTCGTTTTAATACTCATGTACGCTACTTAATAAGCCTTTCTTAATCATTTCCTTGAAGTAATAATCACCATATTAATCATGTTGCACTGCAGACGCGGTAGTTCTTCTGCCTTTGCGTCTTAGTCTGATTGCATTTCCATGAAGAAATGATCATAAATGTTCTTCCTTGAGCTGCGTCACCCCGCTGTTGTCTGTAATAGACTGGCCTGAGGTCTCGCTACAAACAAGCGGCTGCTGGAAGAGAGTAGGTGAGTTGTGTTTAATCTCTTTGCTAAACAAATTAAGCAAAGCTAAAAAGATGATTGATGGCTAGTGCTGTGGCTGGGACCCTATATGTACTGTTGATGAAGTTAGGTGCTGTTCTGAGCATTATTTGTGGCTATACAGTGGTGTTTTGGTTGAGGTTTGTTTATGGCTCCTCAGACCGCTGTGTATTGCTATCGTTACTAAAGTTGGTATAACGAGAGAAGCAAGCTGTCGGCAACATTCATCTCTGGAGGGGGTGTCTAACTCTGTGTTACAGTGCGTTTGACCCTAAATTAATTTTATGCCGGAATATCCCTTTAATCTTTATTAATGTGCCATCATAAAGATTCCTAAACATCAATACTTGTTCAACCTTATGGCCCAACTTAGTGGGGAACTGCAGAACTGTAAGAGCTTTATACTTTTGGTTCATGCTCAGAGGACCAGATAACTGCTGCAAGGGCCCATTTATTGCCGCATGCAGCTGAAATTGTAGTTTATTACTGATGTTAATTACAAGAACACAATTATAACCAGAAATGTCAAACTGATTTCTGTCTCTTCAGTGTAAAGAGTTTCTGCTTTTCTTTGTTGATAATAGTAAATTGAGTATTTGGGTGGATTTGGGACGGTTAAGTGGGCTCTTTTGACGAGCATTTTGCTATCTTACCTTTTATACACCAAAAAAAAAGACAGTTAATCAAACAATTAATCAGCAGATGCTTCTTCAAATAGAAAAGTTTGGTCCTCGTTCTGTTAGAGATTGTTTTCTCTCTTCGCAAAACATTTCAATGGAAATTCGAAAAAATGAAAGAAAAATCTGAACAAGCCTAAGCCCTAAGCCGAATTTGTTCCTGGAAACTTTTACAAAACCACATTTTGAAGCTGCAGAGCGGAGCCAGAATGGATCATTGAACTTCTGAGAGGCAGATTATGAGCACTCTCCACGTGCACACCAACATGCAACAATCACACACACACACATTCTTTTACACGAGAACACACACAGATGTGGACAACAAGCCCACTCTTGTACACTGTTTGGACTTGACATTGGGAATCGATGCAGGCTGTTCAATACTGTTGGCTCCTCTGACTTCACACACTGACACTGACACACACTCGCACACACACGCACTCACACTCACACTCTGGCTGCTGTTAAGACGATGCCAGTGGCACAGATGGAAGTTTTTCAGGATCTGGAAATCTATCAAAAAGCTTTCGGGCTTTGACAGCAAAGAGTTAGTGAGTCTATATTTCGAGTCATACCTGAGCTCTCACCAGTGTTCCTTGTTACTCATTGTTTCCCTGCAGAGGTTTTTCTTCCGTCTTTGTTCTGTGTTCAGACGTTTTGTTCCTCTTCTGTCTTTTTACCGTCACTATGTGAGCTTTTCACAGCTGCTGCCCAAGGCTGCATCCATCAAAGCAGTCAAGGCACCACAGCCAATTGATTCCCTAATCGAATATCATTATTACCAGCAATTAGCCTGCACTATGACTTCAGTTAAAATCACTAATTAAAAAATGTGGGCCTGAGTGTGTGCTGTGGAAGAAGAAGTATGTCTTTGTGAAACGTGCACCGTACGTTCTCTGCACGGCAAGATATTTAGGAGCTCCTATTAATCACTACGCTGTCGTGGTGGTGTTCGACACAGCGATCAGCGAGGCGGTGGGGGCCCACCTGTTTGTGTGTGATACTGGTGCAGCAGATGGCCCACCCAAGGCGTGGTGTGGGCTAATTGCTGTTGATTCATACACAACAGCCAACATGTTTTTTTTCTTTTTTCTTATAATGGAGACATGTTTTCTTTATGGAACAAAGACAAAGGGGGAGGGGGTTAATGAGGAGACAAATCTTACGGTATGTGTACTGTTTCAGAGCCACTTCCATTTATCATAACATTGTTCCTAATCATTGTGAAATTCAGGCCTTTAGCTACCTTTGGTGTGCAGAGAGTTAAATTTTATACATTAAAAAAAAAGTTTGTTTTTACAGTTTATTTATTTATTGGTGTATTTTGATAGTTTATTTCAACTACTTGCACAGATTCAGAAGTATGCTATTTACATTTCACAATAGTTTCAAATCCATATAAAAAGTGTTCAGTTTTTCACTTATAATCTTGATTAGGGAGTCTAATGCAACAACATGTACCGACTGTCTGATGCTTCAAATTCTACAAGTTTTCTCTAAGTTTGGAAAATGTGCACCTCCCCTGCCTTTCATTCATAAAAAGCCAATGTAGACACTGCAACAGATAAAACAACCGAGGTAGAAGACTTATCAGTCAGAGCACACCCCCTCTCTGTTTGATGCACATGCATGAAAAGCCGAGGCAGGAAGAGCAGCAGCAAAGAGCACAGTGGTACAGAATCAAATACACTAGTAAATTCAGACAGCATAAAAAGAAGGAGCTGTAACTGAGGCGGGTTTCAAAGCAGTTTAAAGCGGAGGCAGGTAGGATAATGCGGCTGAGGCAGTTTGAACAAAGCACCTACTTGAACTTTTGATAAACGGAATTATTAAAAGTACTCAATTAAGGTGTTAGCCGATATGCGCTACCATTAGGATCAGCTGATGTACCTGAACTAACACGATAAATTTCATTTCATTTCAGATACTTTTAATTGTCCTTGTAGAGAAATTTGTCAAATAGTCTGCAGTGTATAAATAAAAGAACAGAAACATTGAGTTGTCGCACCAGATGACACACATCACACATGCAAGACAAGTACACAGCAGCAACAAGTATCAGTCACCCATACCAGCAAACAATAATGGGCGATGAAACAATAATGATATACATCGAAAATTAATTTTTCTCAATATAAATATAAAACATGGTCAATATACTTTTTCGGTAGTCCGCATTAAAAAAGAGAAAAGGGCGTTCTCTCTTCTTGTTCACATAAGAATGCCTGTGGTGCATTCATGGGCATAGGACAAATGAAAACTCACTGTAAAACACAATATGACTGAACAGTATTTACTAGAAAACACCTAAACAACATGGGCTTTCTAACAGGCATTCTGCCATGTCTCAAGCGCAACGCCTTATGACAAAATGTCATAGAGACACACAGACTCCACAGATGCAGCAGCTTATTGTATTGCAAAAGACATGCCACCAATAAGCACTGTTAAATTTCATTTTTTTACATTGTGATATCGATATTGACTGATATGAAAAAAATGTATTGTGATAAATCTTTTCCAATATTGTCCAGCCCTATGTCAACGGATCAATTACCTGTACTGTTACAGTACACAGCAGCATAAAAATCAATCAATCAAACAACAGTCAATAATCAATCAGTCAATCAATTACCCTAATTACTAATACAGTACACAGAAAAACAACACATATCAATCAATCTGTTACCCATGCCATCACAGCATACAGAGATAGATAGATCGATAGATCGATAGATAGATAGATAGATAGATAGAGGCAGCACCAATGAAACGCAGTACACATTCTACAAATACTGTTCTTTACAAATACTTAATGTTTGGATAAAAAAATTTTTGTAACGTTCAACCTGCTCCGGGGAACTCAACATCTTCTCCCCATAAAGTGACCAATATTTTATATCTACCTTAAGATCTGGTCTCAAAATAGACACTACACTATGCACCAGTGTGGTCTAAAACACTGCATTTGAGGCAGGATACCGCTGTAAAGTGCTCGTTGTGTTTGTTTTAACATTTTTAGGAGATCACATGTGTGACGGAGCGTCATTAAAACGCACTGTCATCCCCCGACTGGCGCGGGTCTCTCTCTCGCGGCCTGAGAGTGCCGGTGCCGGGAGTGTTCCCGGCGGAGCCAAGCCCCGTTAAACTGTTTTATTGTTTCCCTGCAGGCTCGCACCTGTGTCTCGCGGTCCTGCACTCCAAAAAACCGTTTCCCCTTTTACCTGGACTCGTTTCTCCCCGCTGTAGGTGTTTAAAGGTGCACACGCAACTACTACACGCCAGATACACACACACACCCTCTTACCTGCTGCCATCATCCAGTCCAAACCAAACCGGGACACTTCCTGGTCCCTCAGTAAATGGCGCGAGTTGGCGCGCCGGACCAAACCATCATAGTTCCTTTGTGATATTTTGTCTGATTTCCTGTGTTTTCAATGAGTAAGGCCACAGCTGTATGGAGGCCTATTAGTGCCTTTTTGTCAATATTGAAAAGTTTGATTTATTGATGACTTTTGTGTTGCATTTTGCATATTGTCTCTTAAACCCCCATAATTTGTTTATGGGTGGGCCGAGGGGAGGGGCTAAGGGGTACCTAATAAGCACTTTGCTTGCTCACTATAAGGCAGGGGTGGGCAATTAATTTTTACATGGGGCCACATGAGAAACCTGAACTGTGTTGGAGCACCAAACCAACAGTAACTTCAACTTCAAATCGGGGGGGTTCAGAAAAGCAACCGCAAATAAGCAACTACTAGTTAAAAACAAGCCCCAAAAAAACGCACGAGTTTTATGCGCGACTTCTAAAAGAAACAAGCTTAAAGTCTTTAATAATAAGTGGACTTGGCAACTATAAGGTGTCTATGAATATTTTGCTAATGATTAAACTTGTCTCTGTTCACGAACGCAGATCTAGGATGTACATATGTGCGTCCAAACGGAAATAAAGCAATGACTAGTTTTTCAAAATAAGAGCAACACACTTGTATAGCATGTTGATGATATGACATCAAAAGGGCCAAATGTGGCCCACGGGCCATAAAATGCCCAGGTGTGCTCTAAGGGGAGCTCTTTACCTTGTGGCATTGTGGGTTATAAGTGTACAAGTGTAAGTTTTACTGAGATTCTGCTGTTCATACTTTGTTTATTTGCCTTGTTTTGCTGTTGTTATCCTAGACTCTAAATATTTTGCCACAGTTTGCTGTTTTTGGGGAGTTTGTGTGAATAAAAACCACCACACCGGAGTTTCGACTTCGCCATCCTTTCTTGTCCAGAACAGAACCAATGGCAACCTGCATACTTAGCTCAAAATCGGAGTACCTCTGTGAGATTTTCAATCTTTTTGCTGCAAAGTGCATAATACTTTTGGCTGATCAGCTGAAACAAACCAGCATGAATTTAAAAACATAACAATGAGCTTCATCCCAGAATGATAACACCATAATGCTGACAGCTCTATTTCTTTCTCTTGGAGTTATATTTAAGTACTTTCCCATATCTTATCGAGGCACTTTGTTTGAAGACACTGTCTTCTTTGCAGCTTATAAAGCTCTGTCTTACTACTCATGGGTGCTGCACAATTTGGAGTGTGTATTCAAACTGATTTAGTAGTGATTTAGTTTATGACACATCCCTCTGAGTCATGTTGGAAGTGGCAAACCAATCTGGTCATTTGGTTTGGAGAACCTTTTTGAAATGCCACTTTAAAAAAAAAACATGGGAGTTTTTTTTTTTTTTTTTTTGCTCAAAAGCCACTTATTACCCTCAGAAGAAGAAAAATGCTTTTTTTTGTTCAAAATACATGACTCCATGGGTCACAGGGGAAATGAAATACAGAATGAAAGTCACCCTCAAGTACACAATCACAAACAACAATAACAGGCATTCACTCTTTGAAAAGTAGCTTTATATAGTATCTTCCTACCTGAAAAGCAAGAGGCCTGATCTCAACTCAGCGCACAAGGACCTTTTTCGACCTTAAAATCTTATATAAGGTAAAATGTTGTGTTCCTCTTACCACCCTGCAATGAGAACATTCATATATATATATTCTGTGGAGTCTCTTGAGTTTGTAGCTGGATTTTATTGCAGTGGAATCAGCTGCAGCCTAATAGGCCCAGGCTTGAGCGCACACAAAAAAAGCAACACACCAAAAGTAGAAATAATGGATAGACCTTAGTAATTCGTGTCGAGTCAAATGTCAGAGGCAGGAGGAGAACGCCGGTTGTGGTGGGGGGTGGCTTTCAGCTCGACGAAGAGGTCTGCAGTGAGGTTGGGTATCGGTCATGGTCGGCGGGTGTCTGCTGAGGTCTTTGTTAAAGCCCATTCTGTGTGCTGCAGCGGGGGGAAGCGGAGAGCGTCGGAGGCCGGTGGAGGAGACGGAGAGGAAATCAATGGAGCTGCTGGAGACCATCCTCTCGCTCGGCACGACGCTCGCACTCACACGGCTTTCTCCTGCACTCTATGACTCAGCTTGACCCCTTTTTCCTTTTTATTTTCACTCTTCGTCGAACAGTGTGTCTCAGTTTCTGTCGTCTTGAGCCGGTGTCTGCACACATTTTCAAAATATTCGTCCTTTTTTCCCTCCACAGGTGCACTGTACAAGCAACAAGTCTGGCATGCAGAGTCGGGGAAGCAACCATAAAACCCACAGCTATTTCAGGTTAGAGGAAGATGAAATACATCAAAGCTCCCAAAGAGGAAAATCGGGTTCAGTGAACTGCAGCTACTAGACAAAGGACTCTATCATACAATCTATGATTTTATATATACACTTTTCCCATCATTTGGGGTATGGAGTACACCGCAGCCACCAGCCATATTAAGACCAACATATAAGCACTTTTAGGTACAAGCAATGTATGCTGGATCTAAATGTGGTTTAATGATACTGATGGGGAGAGGATCAAGGTGAGAGGAAGGAAATAAGAGGAGCAAAAACCGAGGATACATTAGAGCAGCCTCGGGCGGTTTTAAGTTTTTAGTACCAAAAAAAGCTTTGTTAATCAGCTACCTAAATAATCAATACATATTTTGGATAGAAACAGGTCAGATGGAAGATCTTTTAGTGATCTTGTAGTGATGGCAGTCGAACCTGAGCCAGCACTAGCATGTGACTATTAAACAGAAAGTGGTGGTGCTAGTTTTGCCGATATTAGCCATGTTCTTAATACTAACTTGATATTTTTACCAGCAGACTTAAAGAGCCTGTGATCTGGTCAAGTTCGACTGTTTTCTGAGAATTTTCTAACCATTGAACAAGTTGGCTAGTCAGTTTGAATCTCCATTTAAACAGCAAAGAAATCAGTCTAATTTCTTTAGCAAAGAGACTAAACACAACTCACCTACTCTCTTCCAGCAGCCGCTTGTTTGTAGCGAGACCTCAGGCCAGTCCATTACGGACTGCTGCGGGGTGACGCAGCTCAAGGAAGAACATTTATGATCATTTCTTTATCAATTCCTTTAAGTAATAATCATCATATTAATCATTTTGCACTGCAAGCAGTTCTTCTGCCTTAGTGTCTCGGTCTGATTGCATTTCCATTAAGAAATGAAAATTAATCCATTAAAAGAAATACATTTTACACAGGAATATCCCTTTAAGGTCCAGTTAAATTAAAAAAAAAAAGACCAAACCAAAAGTCAAAATAGAATGGGACAAAAAAAGGACGAAATGATATGATGAAGAAACTCAAGATCCACAAACAAAGAACAGGAAACTGAATAGGTAGACCAGATCCATTAATGCCGAAGACAAATGGACAGCCAGCATGAAAACTCACTGGATAACATGGGTTAAAAAAAAGAAAAACTCTGATATGAATGCATTGTTTCGGCATGCTTGAAAACTGCTCATGATGAAAAACAGAGTACTGCCATAAAAGTCAGAATTTTTTTCTTTATTGCGGAGGAATAATCAGATAAAAACAAACTAACAGGAAAAAAAAACAAAGTTTATATAGCTGCTTGAATCACTATGCACATAAAACACACTTAAACTTCCGGCAAAGTACTGCAAAATGAAGTTCAACTTCTGCAAAGTACATGCATCTCACTGTTTTCCAGCCCTGCTAATATGTGTTGAACACCCGCCTATTTGGATGCAGAAATCTGGAGCTGGTGCTTGAATGTGCAGCTTATGAGGGAGCTGAATATCATGAATAATAACTACAGAGCTTCTTACAGTAATAACAACACACACATACACACACACACATACACATAATGCTTGTACTTGTATTGTACACTGCAACAATTGCCCACAGCTATCATCCATTGTTTTAGACGTTTAATTGGAAACACAAAAGCAGCCCACGCTCTGGCTAATGCACACAGTGTATCCAGCCCCCAGAGATCGCAGTGAGATACATTTAAAGCCCCCCCACACAGGGAACAGGGGAGGGGGGAATTCAACCTCCATCTGTCTCGCTCACAAGGCTGCTGAGCTCGGGGACATAACACTTTTCTCCTCGATAAACAAGGTGTGGGCCACTAAGCAGCGCTCGCCGCGAAAGTCGACTGAATACAACTGACCGGCGCTTATCTGACTGAATATCAATAACAAACATTTTTATGCTCTGCTCCCTCAAATTCCAGCCTATTAATCCAGACTCGAATAAACACCCGACGCCTTAAGGCCTGAAACAATATCTTTGCCCCCTTGTAACTTAACTTGTCAAGAATAATGCATGAAGGTGCAAAGTGCATTCGATAGCAGCTTCCCGGGCAAACAGAACCTCTCTATTTCCACTTTGTATAATAGCTGTTCACACTGTGAGAAAGAAAAGCAGCAGGAACTGAGAATCAATGTGTTATTTAAAGAAATAGACCCAGATCATTTGCAGTAATACTCCACACACGCTTCACCAATAAACTCCTCAATACAGAGCAGCAGCTCTGGCAGGAAGAATATCCAAGTATTCCAAACAAGCAATTAGGCTGAAACTGTTTGCGGTTTTGCATCAGTAGGCTGCAGATTTATACATTTAGATTAAACTGATGTATAAAACCAACTTGGAAGCACTTCTAAAACTTCTACAACCATAACAAGCTCTCATTTCCTCTCTTTTTGAAGTGTTTACAATGAAGTCCAAGCACCGTGACTTGGTTTAAAAAGTGACCTTTAATGCTTTTACCTGTGTAAAAATTGGGCTGCATTCGCCACACACTGGATTAACCAAAATACTACAATCAAATCCTTTACTTGTGTACAAATTTCAGCTTGAAAGATGGCGCCTTAATAGCTTTGTTATGGATTTGTACAATCATGACTGAGTTACCGAATGTGACGTGATGATATTGAAAATTCGCCACTTTTCGAAGCAGCTGATTCACTGTGCCGAGGGAGCTGAGACGAAGGTGAAACTTGAGATTTACCCATGGAGCTACGGTCCACCTTCACCCACATTCACAAGCTATGTAGTGAGAATGAGATAGCTAGCCAGACTTAGCCACAGCGAAAGGCGTCTACTGACTGGAGTAGCATAGACCAGTGGTTCTCAACTGGTGGGTCCAACACCCAAAAGTGGGTGACGGACATGTTCTGGCTGGGTTGCAAACAGGTGGTCAAAAAAGTAAATATTTAATGTGCATCTGATGTTTGACATGTCTTTTATTTTGAAAAAAAACGTATTTTCTGTGTAATTTAATATTTATTTGATATTTTCTGTATATTAGTAGTTGTCATCCTCAGCTCAAAATGGTTTGTGTTAAAGATTTGAGTCTTAAAAAGTCTTCTATGAAAGTGGGTGCGACTTACAGACCATCGCAAAATGTGGGTCCAAGAGTGAGACCAGTTGAGAACCACTGGCATAGACGACCAAGTGAGAGTGTCTTCACCATTTTAAGAGTTTAAGTCAATGGATGTGATGATTTTGGAGAACTTGAACACTAACTTATGGTCACGTGTAGAAGAGGTCTTAAGTTTTGTTTCTGGGTAAAAGTGCCAATTAGTTAAGTAGTTTATATCGTAGTGTGTTGTTTTACCTTAAAATTATATGTAACATAAGTAATGTAAATTTGATGTTGTGAAAAACTTTGCTCAGAGAAAAAGTATTAATCTAAAACACCAGAAAATACATTTTTAAAAATCCAAATAAATGTTACCAGAGGTTGAAATTATGCAAATCAAAGTTTCTTGTTAAAAATTGGAGGATAGATACTTGCTTTAATCACACAAAGTCATGCAGTGACAGATACTTCAGAGGGTTGTCTACAGTGTAATGACAAGGCTATCACAACACTGCTGATAAAAACACAACTTCTTTAATTGGAGTTACAGGGTTTAGCCAATTAGGCTAAATCAGCTAATTACATGGAGGTTTTCTTAGCGTTCCTACAGCTAATTAATTGGAATGACTACCACTGTGTTCAGGAAATGAGTCCTCTCAGAGCAGGTGACTAAAAATAAGGAAATATCACATCAGGCGCTTACCTCTGCACCTGTGAGGCAGCGAAAAGCGAGTTTTTTTTTTCTTTTCTGTTACAGCAGCTTAAAGAGAAGAAGAATTTCAGCCTCCTAATTTTCACCTGTCGAGAAAAGAGTGTCAAAGTGTGGAGTTAGGGAAAGGAAGCACTCGTATTCTCTGGAGGTTAAACTAGCAGCATACTGTATTTAGTTCAGTGAAAGGTAGGACAGGTACAACAAAAGCATTGCAGCATCAAATTAACAAAGGACTATTGGATCACATAGATGATCTTTCTATGGATCTTGAATCATCCTGATGGAGTTTTCATGTCAAGAACATCGCTCAGAAAGTATCCTTTATGAAAACACAATGAAACCTGCAGACGATTAAAGAGCTTTAATAAAGGGTGTCTGTGATAAATCTATAAAATAAAACCCTCTGACATCAAGGGAGCAAAATTGCAATAGCTGCGGTCGTATTCATACAACAACTCTTGGATGTTGTATGACCATGAGTTGTATAGTTTGGGTTTGTGACTTTCACCAAAGCGAAAAACCCTCTAAAAAGGATTTTGGGAACTTTTTTTTAGCCATTATAACAACCTTAAAAGATTTTTAAAAATATGGATGAATACATAATGCAGATAGTAAAGAGCCATTGAGGAAACAGGTGGATTTGGAGACCTCTTGTGGCAGCATGTGATAACGAGCTACCTAATTAAAGGATTTTATTTAATTTTCAGATTTTTTTTTTTACTGAATTTAGACAAAGACTGGTTTTGAAGTCAGCTTTCTGTTCACACTATGATATTTTCAACCCCATTAGCTGTTATGTCATGCTCAATTTGATACCAGTTTTCAAACCAGGACCTTGTTACCACAAATTCACGCAGGAAAATCTCTGACCTAACCTATTTAAAAATCCTATTTCTGATGGGGAAAAATTGTCTCACTAATAAAAGTCACGTTTATCTTCAAATTCAAGAGAAACTCCTCATTTTTCAGACACCCCAAACCCAAA